AGACAAGGGCATTAGCTGACATTAGTTAATCTGTCAAATAAGGAAACATATTTAGAAGTGTAACAACTAAAGAACTAGTTGGTGAAGTAAAAGACATCCTAAAGTTATGTTAAGATTTGTTGAAACTGTAACTTGTGAAGCTTTATACCTCAGGAGAAGAGAACTCTGAAACCATTAAGACCCTTGCATACTCCAAATAAACTTGTTCTTGTTTTAGTAACTCAAGTCTCAGTGTACTATTTCAAGGGGGGAAAAAACCTCGCTACACACCAAAAGAAGCACTACAGAGTGGTAGCAGTGAATCTATTTGAAAATTGGGGAATCAATTAATAAACTAAATAGGAGACCCTTATTAATTGGTGGCAGCATAGCCTAGTACCTCACAGATGGTGGCAGCATACTAGATTGAATAGAATATCAGACAACGAAGAGGAAGCCTTTACACCTGGCTACATAGGAACTGAATGATGTCACTGAATCATAGAGTTGGAAGGGACTACAAGGGCCATCCAGTCCAACCCCCTGCCATACAGGAAAACACAATCAAAGTACCGCCGACAGATGGCTATCCAGCAGCCTTCAGAGAAAACTTTAACCACCCTATGAGGCGGCAAAAACATTAAAGATTGGGCAGAAATTATAAAACATACGGCCGTCGCCGCCCAAGCAACTGTGGTGTTGTATTAGAAAGAACATAGAAAGTGGGAAGTTAAAAATGGTTTGAACATTTAGCAGATTTTATGCTCCAGGATTACATCCCTGGAAGGAGAACCAAGGTTGAAACAAAAAGAAGTGGGATCTGAAATAGGGAAGATTGATAGATAGTAAAAAAGAAAAGGAAAATATAAAGAACTGAACCGCACACTCACCATGATCAATCAATTAAAATAAATTTTGAAAGAAGGAAAATACTGCTCCCCAGGGAAAGTGGGGAAGGAGGTGGGGAGTAATACTGTTAGATACTTGTGGGAGAGAAACATGGAATCGGTAATTAAGAAATTTAAGTTCTTTGTACTATGAAATGATTACTGAAATTGACATTATTCTACTTGTGTTTATGATAATAAATCAATTTTAATTTTTTTAAAAGAAAACAAAACAAAAACGGCCACGATGGCTGATACTAACTAGTAAAGAGAAGAAATACATACCAAGAGAAATAAACATTGAGTAACCCTTTTTAAAAATCCATCACTCTATATCCTAGTTTCAAGAGCTTTCATGATTAATTTACATGCCCATTTTGAGGATCTGTTCTTACCTGGATTAAACCTCACCCATCTTGAAACCAGTCCAGGCACCCCAAGTCCTCTATACATAACTATTGTAGTTCATTTTGAACCATAAAATCCGTTAGCATTGAGAATTAATTTAAAATTGCTGGCAAGAGGAAGAATTTAATAATCTTTCTGCCTACTATTCCTCTGTACTAAATTTCCTCCATATGGAGCTTTGCCCCCCCACACACTTAAAGGCCAGTCTTGCATGCAACACTGTTCTAAGGAAGTCTAGTTGTATCAAACAGTAGGCATTTCCTAATACTGTTATTGATAAATTATACACTAATACTAAAGACCTGGCTGTTTGAGCAGGCGTTTGAAAAATTAGTGCAATGCTTAGTTAACGAACAATGGAATGGAACAATGGATGACGAATTTGGATCATGTGTTTGATGATGAGACGATAGTGAATGGCTTCTGTAGTAACTGTTTATTAACTGTGTAATGTGTAGGCTGTTAATTGTTTTTATACTTAGCATTGAATTCTTGCTGTTGTTGTTTGTTGTACACCGCTGTGAGTCGCCTTCGGGCTGAGAACAGCGGTATATAAGTAAGGTAAATAAATAAATAAATAATAGATTATAGAAATAGCTATTCAGTGGTTCATATTAATTTCATTGTTTTTCACAATATCTGATTATTTTTACTAGTAGTAAAATTGCAGATCTATATAATAAAGACATCTGAGGACTTAGTAGTAGTAAGCATTGATACATTTCTCTGCTGATACATTGACTGCAACACTTCAAATATGAATATATAGCACTAGAGCAGATGTGGCTAAAAATAGCAAGACTCCACAGAAATGTTAGACTTGATTTTCTTCTGACGTGATCACACGACCACTGCAGCAATAGGGACTTAATGCTATTTACGTAGTTATTTTGCATATCGGCATATCCCTGGAGGTTTTAAACAATGCAGCTGTTTCTATAATATGAAGTTAGAAGGAAGCATCTCATGTTAAAGAGATTTATTGAGGGTGTAGGCATGGGAAGAGAAATAATTGAATACAATTAGTTCCACAATTTTGTATGAATGATTAAAGCAGGTTGTTTAAAATGGGAAGCTAGGAATATATCTGTTTTTGTGAAAGCTCGTTTTTCTACAAATTGAAAGCCAGATTTGAAGGAATTAACCTGAAGTAGTTACATTTAACTTTCCGGCTTCTATTATTACATTTGCTTTTCACAATATAGTGTGAAGAATTGTGTCTTTAAAAAAAATCTTAGAACTATTGTATTCAGTCGTTCCTCACAAAATCTCTCTCTTCTCTCCACCCAGCATGGCTCAAAAGCCCCTCAAGAGCATTGTGGGCCACTCTTGGACAATTATTTTGAATTGAAGGGGAATGTAGGGAGCAGTGAAAGCCTGCTGCTGGATAAATAGTAAAGGAACAGTGGCATAGATGGGAAGGCTAATGACTGAGTAGAGTTTCTCTATCTTCTTAATGAAGGAAAGCTTAGTTTTTTGCTGCCTTATTTCAGAATCTGTTTTGCAATGACTGGATGATTCATTTAGAACTTGGGAAATGTGTTTAAAATTACACAACTAGTATGTCTTTGGACAAGTGTTTCACTTTTGGCCTGCATCAGTTTGCAAAATGAGAAGGATTCCTTCCTATACTGTGATGCTTCACAAGTGTGAGAATATTAACTGCTTCACAAGGACTTAACTGCTTTTCTGTGGGGGATAATCTCAGCTATGCATAAAGTTGTAACTTTATGGAGGGCAGTGTCTAGCTCTGGATTTTTTTGGATGAAAGGGTAGCCCAGAATTTGGAACTCATGGGGGGCCAAGGTGTCCTGCTTGCTATTCTTCCAACCCCAAAGGTTAATACCACCGACATTATTCCCACAATTTTTGCCGGTTAGTACTTCTGTAATACATCAGGAGTATTTGCCTTGTTTTGGTACCAATTAGCATATGGGTCTGTCTCTTGTTTAAATGGAAAATTTCCTTGATTGGGAACTTTTGCAAGGTAAGAGAAATATCCTAGAAACATTACGCATATCCCTATGTTGTCTACCAATTTCCTCAGCAGTAATTCAGTTGTGCTAAAACAAAGTCAACAACCCTCTGCTTTTCAGCTCAGCAGTAAAGGGAGGTTCAGACACTTTCACTTCCACATTTTATTAACGATAGCTTGATGACTTCATGGATCCAAAAAAAAATCTGATGTTAACCCTAATTGTGGATTATTTGAAACAAGTCAGTGTCAAAACTGCCTATTTGAGCTAGGATGAGATTATCCACAACTCAGCAGCTATGTGCCATCAGTATATTTTATCTAAAATGTATGTTGTCCTAATAGCATTTTTTAATTGCAGTTGAAGAAATGATAGATTGGAAAGAAATTGGGGGAGGGATCACTTTTTGTACTACAGTTCCCAGAATATTATTTCATTTCCCCCATGCTATTGGAGATTCTGAGATGTATAGTGAAATAGAATATAAAAAGGCTCTGATTAAAACTATTCTTACTGGATATCCTACATGCAGTTGTCATGGATGGTTAAGTCATGTTCTCCAAAGGTGTTTTGGACTCAGTATATCATGTTCCTTTACATCTGTCATTGTTGCATGAGAAATACTAGGAAACATTTTTCAATTATGTGGTGTACTGATTGGAATCGAACCATTAGAGCAGGAGTATCAAACTTTAATGTTATTGAATGACAACTCCTATCACTTTTGACTTTCCACCAATTGGGCTGGGGTTATTGGGAACTGCAGCCTAAGAGCCGCCGCAAACTAGCCTCCTGTGAGAGCAAACTGTGCCAGCAGGTCCGATGACGTTGAAGACTCCGCCTCTCTCTCCGCCTCTCTCTCCGCCTCTTTCTCCGTGCCAGCGTTGTTTTTCCTTTGCTAGGGCAGCGATGCCAGTGTACTCTCGCTGTTGAATTTGAGCCAGATTTGATCCATTGGCCTTGAGTTTTTCACATGTGCATTAGAGTGTCTGAAAGAGTAGGTTCAAATTCCCCTCCATCCATGGAGCTCACTGATCAAGTGGCTTTTGGCTAATCACCACCTCTCATCCTAACCAGGGTGTTTGTTCAGAGAGAGAAATGTGAAACTAAAAGTTGTAGATTACAACTTCTTTGAGGAGGAAGGAGACATAAAGATAAGAAATAGTACCTTTCAATAGCAAGAGCATCAATATTTTGATGAATGGACAGTGTTTTAGTGCTGTTAACGACTTTGTAGTGTATTTCTTCCTTACTGGGTATATATTCAGTATAATACAGATATGGGAAATTGCAGATTTATGAACGTTGTTAGACTGCAATTCCCAGTGCCCCTTGCTTCTGGCTGATTGGGGAGGGCATTGCAATTCAGTATCTGGTGCTGCATTTTTCCTACTATGGCCTAAAAGAAGAGGATAGTCATTTAAAGCTATTCTTAATCTCAAAAAGCTTCCCTAGAGCAAGTTTAAATGTTGATAATTTGTGCTTAGTTCATTTGATACTTTGTATTGCTGGTTTAGTGTTGGATGCATAAGTAAATTATGTTATAGTGAACATTTTTCTTTTTAGCGTAGTCAGAAAATACAACAGAATTATTTTTATATAATAAACATGCATATGCTACAGGAACATTATTTTCTTTTTCTTACTGGAATGTTTCATTTTCAGCCTTTTGTTTTTTCTCCTTGATTGAGATATTATTAAGATAAAGTATTGCATGCTTCCCAATACTCTGTGTTGTGCTTCATTTCAGGGGATAAATTCAAGGTGGAAACAAAAACTATTGTTGCTGACTTTCAAGATCGAGAAACAATTTACAGTAACATAAAAGCAGGCCTGGAAGGCCTTGAGATTGGTATCTTAGGTTTGTATTTTTCTAATATTTCAGAGTCTTTATGTTTTGTTCTGAAAAGTTATTATTCCATTGAATATATAAAATTAAACATATTAGTAGCATCAGCTCCTTTTGGAACAAGTAGTCTTCTTGATACTTTCCTGCAGATAGGTAGAAGGTTCATAGAGCCAGTTCTCAAGGTGATAAAGCAGTAGAAAGTTCAAGAAAGCCAGAAATGAAGAGAGCTGGTGTGGTTTCAGAGCTGGAGCAGGATACTAGATGAGCAGGGCTCCAGTCCATCTTCAACCACAGATCACTGTACGCAAGCTCTCAGCTTTATAGCAAGGCACTGGTAAACATCTTCTAAAGAAGTCTAGCTAAGAAAATTATAGTTCTTCATAGTTATCTTTATTCTTACATGCCTCTAAATTTTCATCCCATGGAATTGAATATTGCCTTCTATTTTTGTTTATTTGCCTCCGAACTGCTTGCATGATTGTTTAAAAATGGTTGATATATGTGTGTTATTGCTTAGTTTATCCTCCAGGGTTTTTTTCCCTCCCTGGTCAGACATAAGAGGATCAAATGTGTTTATTACATCAAAAATGAACGGTATTATCTTTCCTTGTCAGGTGAGAAATGATCTTCATAATTAAAATGCTAAGGAAGTCAGGTGTACAAACAGTTAACAAACCATAGGGATTATACAAGGCGTAAAGAACATGTAGCTTAGAAAATATTGGAAGGTGGTGCTAATTATGTTTTAATTTTTTGAATGTCAGACTTCAATACTTCAATGGTCATAGTTAAATAAAATGTTTATTTCAGTAAACAATGTGGGTGTTTCGTATTCTTATCCTGAGAGCTTCCTTGATGTCCCAGACCTAGATAAAGTAAGTATTTTCCCCTTCTATATTTATTGTGTTCAAGTATATTTTTAATGACTGTCACATTACAGAAGAATCAGGACTTAGGGCTACTTTGCTGATCTTGAAATACAGGGGTTTTCCGGCTTTGAGTATCACTTCATTCCATATAAAGCTATTTGTATTATTTTGATATGAGTACTTGATGTACAGTCCACAGTAAAGCATTCTGAATTGAGTTATATCTTAGGTTGCTGTCAAATTGATGCTTGAAATGGGCAAAATTTATCTACCACCATTTGATCCTTGGTCAGTTTGGAAATTTTAAATGACCACATAATTTACTCCCCTGTATCTCAATAATACATATCAGATTAGCTTTTTTTTCATTTCTGATGAAAGCACATTGTTATTAATGCTATTGTGTTGTAACATGATGGTGTCAGCACCACTGAGCCAGAAAGCACAGTAGCTGAGCAAGCTTAGTTTTACTTAGGGGTGCTAAGTATTTACCATATACTAGTACTGCCTTTTTTTTTTTTTTTACAAATGACCCATCACTGTTATCAATGCAGACTCCCATCTCATAGCCACTGTTACTATCCCAGTTAGAAAATCTCAAGCAGATAGGATTACTAGTGATAACACATATCAGTTGTTCTTTCAGAAGTATGCAGATGTGGTCCTGAAATAAACTCATTTAGTTTCTCCAATTCTCTACTTAAAAAATAAAGTTGCTTAAAATATAAATGATTATAACTAAAGTGTTCATTCTACACATCTTTATACTACTTCACCTTTTCAGATCTCCTCTATTGGATGCTTAGTATATGAATATATAGTTTTTTGATAATAGGTTTTTTTGCCTAAATTGTTACATTTCGAAATTAAACACAACAACCACCTACTCCCACATTTAGTTTAGCATGTTTTGCTTTTAGTTTATATTAAGAGCTTACAGTCAGTATCCTGTTACGCTTCATTTTTTTTTCTCTTACAGCTAATTGACAACATGATAAACATTAATTGCATATCTGTGTGCAAGGTAAGAAGCATTTATGGAATGATTTTAGGTGATACTGTAGTGTTTCTGTTTTTGCTGATACTAAGTGACACAACTATTGTTGAAGATAGGCAAGTTAATTCCAAGATGTGGAACTTCAGCTCCTAGAAGCCCTAGGCAGCATAGCCAATTGTAAGGATTTTTTTTTAATTGTAATCCAACAAAAAGTTGACCACTGAGCCAAAATCCCTTAAACAAACCTATATTTGGAACTTTCTAGAATGAGTCTGGTGTTATAGCAGGCAGACAGCCTATATTCAGTGCACGGACTTGGCTTCCATCTTACCATTCAGCAGCAGTGTTGGAAATATTCTCTCACTTTAGTTAAAGAATAGTTCACTCTCTATAGTTAGAGCTCTGTTCCCTCAGAGCTCTAACTAAACTCCATAAAACAATAATATTCTATAATTTTGTTCATCTACTGTTTTTTTTTAATTGATCATTTCTATGTACTTCATTTTGCATTTAGCTTAGAGGACATATTTAGAGGACATGTCCCCTGCCATTCTTCAGGGCCTGTGGGTGTGAAAAGAGTAGCATTGCACAAGTGTTTCATCTGATTATGCTTATCCTGCTTGGGAGAGGAGTATATGGCTGTATTGTGCTGGCTCGCAGTGTTTTACAAAAATGAATTTTCAGTTGTAGAATTAGTTTTTGTTCTGCTCACTATGCTTTTCATGTGCTCAAATACTAACCAAAATTTTGATGTCATAGTAAGGGCCAAATATCGTGCAAAATTTAAGATACTGTATTTAATATAGATTAATGTGTAATGAGTACCTCTAAACATTACTTAGATATTGCATTTCCAGAAAGCTAGCACTCAACAAATGTTAGGAATTTATGATGATTTTTTTAAAAGCATATATAGGACAGGTTGAGCAATAGTCCTAAGTCAGGTGTACATATTTTGGAGACAACTTCTGAGACTCCCGTAATGCCTACTGTTGCAGTGTATCTTAGGTTCCTCTTTTCTTCCATTCTGATATCTACTGAGCCAATTGGAACCACCACTTTAGTATCTAGCAGTGTTGGAAGAAATGCTGTGTTAAGGGCACTCCAAGTCAAAAGTTGGGAATCAAATCTTTTTTTTAATCCACTATTCCCAGATTTCCTCAGCATGACTGCTCAGTGGAGCCTTGGGGATTGTGTTCCAAAGTTGTAGCTTTTCCAAGCTCTGTCCAGGGTGCTGAAGTTGACTTATGCTCCCCTGCATTTTTGGGAGCTTTGATAACCATGACTAAGGGATTAATTTTTAGCTTTTAATCAGTAGGCTTTTTTCTATACTTTACTTAAATTACTTTGTAAACAGTCTTGAGCCCCATGCTAGAAGAAAGGGAAGATATAAATTAAATAAATAATACAATAAAAATTGCAATGGTTATGCATTTCCAGATGCAGAATAGGTAAGGGAAGTTGAGGGTAGTCAAGAAGGGCTTTGGGAATGGTGGGGGCTGGCAGGGAAGAAGGCAAAAGTGATTTAACTCATTCTTTAATTGAGCTATAAAATAATTTGTTTTCAGAAACTTGCCTTTCAATTGAAGGAATTTACAGTCCCTTAGATTTTTAAACTGTCTTGGACTAGGAGCACTTTACAGATGGCTATTCTGTTCTGCAGAATCATATAAATTAAGTTGGAATACATCCAAATGATCATTTAGTCTGTCTTCTGTCTTTAAAACCACGGTAATTTACAAAACTTCATTACTACTGCTACTTGAAATTCATTTTGTGCTAATGGTTGAGCTGGAATTCTCCCACCTCTATCAGGATTCAGAAAATAATCAGTGTCTAGAATCAATATTGAATTGCTACATTTTGATTGTAATTCCATCAAGGACACTTTAGAGGCTCTGATAAAGCAGTGCTGTAACAATGCATAATAGTAAAGAAAAACTGACAGCCGAATTACAAGTGCAGATGAAGCCATCTGATTCACTACATCTGCTTTGTAAAAGAATCAAGTTGCACAGGTAGGAAAAAAGTCTGCTGCCTCCACAAATTAGGACCTTCGCGCTCTTTAAAGTATTTTGAGGTGAAGAGGGGATAAAGGCTTTCCTCCATCTGGTGTCTGCATACTGTTCAATCACCATTTTTTTTCTTTCTAGATGACACAATTGGTGTTGCCTGGCATGCTGAAAAGGTGAGTCACATAAACACTATCCAGACAGTCATCATTATTTATAGGGGAGAATCCTTTCTTAGAAAAATTCATTACTATGATTAATCAGCCTGGCCTCCATGTTTTTAGCAGCACTGTAGTGCTGTGTGAGTCATGGTTTTGGGTGTATGAATCATCCAGCGGTGGAAGCCTATTGCCACTTGATTCCCTTCTTTATTTTCTTTCCTGTTCACTGTTGTGGTGATTTCTTTTTAAAATGGAATTAAAAAGCCAGTCTGACTCATCGTGCAAACTGAACGACCTGCTATTTTGTGGGGGTGGCGAGAATTCCTGGGATGTTCCTGGGAATGACCTTCTTAAAGTCATTGCTGAGATTCAGTGGAAGCAAAATGAGCGTAGAGTAAAAGCTGCAGTCATATAATAGGTGGAAGAAAGAGTGTGAGCATAAGGAGCATCTTTGAAATAATGTAAATGTAATGTAATGTATCATAATTATCTGTCCTTCCAGTGCAGCTAGACATATGCTACTCCTGTAGGAGCTTTTCTCACTTTCTGCTACAGTGAATACAATTTTGATATTTTCAGATTTTCCTTGTTTTTAATAAGTAATACCAAGTTTTACTCTACAGGCAGTCCCCAAGTTACAAACATCCAACTCATAGTTAGAATTGGGGTGAGAGAACAGGAAGGTAGAAAAATCTACCCCTGGGGCGGGGAGAATTCACTCCTGGAAGAGTTATCATGGGGGAAAGGTGTCTCCACTGAAGCTTTATCACCAGTCCTTGTTTCCACAACAAGCCAAAATTTTCAAACTCCAACTCTGACTTACAAACAAATTCAACTTAAGAACAAACCTTGTAAGGGACTACCTGTATAGAATATGTTCCGGTTCTGGCACTAGCTTTTTCTCTCTATTGTATGAGCAGTATTTTCTTGTGTTATAGTATTTATGTTTTACGCTATTTGCAATACTTTTATTAGAAAAATGAGATAGAAGCATTTTAATGTTTATTAATACAGAGACTCTCATTTAACCAGAACTCAAGCAACTGGCAAAAATCAAAGAAATAATACTCAATACAGAGTTTGTGGTATGGAGTGGTATTAGACCTATTTTCTCTTAAATTTACATTTATTTGACATCTACCAATCTCCAGTTAACTCAGAATCTACTGTATTAGGCCCATACTTGAGTGACAATACAAAAAGAAGTGTGCCTCTGGAGCGTCTGTCTACAGAGATTTGCTAAAATTTTATAGCAGATGGTCTGGTGTTTTTTGTTAAATCTCCACATTCTTACTTTGTGACATAGCAAAGAATTAAAGGTGCTCCTGAAATCCTCTGGCACATCCCTTACACTGAGTAGAGCTATCAGTTTGGCTGGCTCCATTAAGTTAGGGTAAGGAGTGCATGCGGCAAGGTTTGCAACCTAGATTCCTGTTTTATTGGACCCGCTTTTCCACAGTTCCAGCACAAAGTTTAAAGAGCACCCTTTCATCTCAGTGATGTACAAGTAAACTTTTGAGCAAGCAGTTTACATATACAAACATTGTAACTTGAAAGCAACCAACTGATACAAAATTTCATGTTTTCTGTAATGAATTGGAATATAGCAAGTTATGAATTTCTTGCTTTCATACTGCTTCTGTTATTATTTAGTTATTAATGGAGATTGGCAGAGCATTCACTTAGAAGTCACCCTCCAGACCTTTGTCAGACACCACATGTTGGACATTCTTGAGTTGACAGAAGCCTCTTTTGGGAAGTGGCAAAGCGCTAAGATAGTATACGGTAGCACCCCCATCTTAATTAAGAAAGCTTTGATAACTCCAATGTACAAGATGCCATGCCCTTTCACTGCTGGGAAAAGGAACATACGTCTTACCTTTGATATGTTCATTTCCAGCTGATAAGAAACAAACATGATGGGTGCTGGCAGTAGAGGGGTAAAGGAATACTAATGGAATTGGCTTGTACTTCACCAATGGGGAAAAGGTAGACTTGGCCTCCCAAGAGTTGGTGGCCCACTTAATGCATATAATTGAGAGAAAGCCATGTTATGTAATATCACTACTGCTGTAGTCTGTTATAAATAGATCATTCAAGAGTGTTTCTATGGTACTATATACAACAGGGGTTTTAAGCAGAGGGCCAGTTCATGTTCCCTCAGACGGTTGAGGGGGCAGACTATAGTTTGAAGTAAATATGAACAAATTCCTAAGTGGTATTTTTAGTGCAAAGCACAATACAATATTTAAAATGAAGAACAGTTTTAACCAACATAGAATCATAGAATCCTTGAGTTGGAAGAGACCTCTTGGGCCATCCAGTCCAACCCCCAGCCAAGAAGCAGGAAAATCGCACATAAACTTACCAATATTTCAATGGGAAATGTGGGCCTGCTTTTGGTTGATGAGGTAGTCAAGTTAATTAGGATTGTTGTGTGCCTTCGAGCTGTTTCAGACTTAGGGGGACCCAAAGTCTAAAGTTTAGGCCAGGGGCTGGGTAAATGACCTTGGAGGGCCCCTGATACAGAAGTTTGGGGATACCTGATATAGAAGAATTTTCTTTTGTCTCTTTGGTTATTTTAGTGACTGACCTCTAGGAGGTTGCTCTGCAAACATGGTAATACTGGCAAGTCTTCCTTTTTTCTTACACACAAGGGAAGAGCAACATGATATACAGGATGTTAGGCCCTTATTTTCTGGGAATGTATTACAGATAAAAGCAACATTCCTGTCTCTGTTGTAGGTAAACATTAAAATATTGGATTTGTTCCCATACACGTTAATTATATTGCAGAAGCAGTTTGGTTTTTGCCACTTTTAAAGTCAGCTAGGGCAGACAAGGGTTGCCATAACAACAATTGGAGAGCTAAATATAGCATGTTTTCTACTATATTGCTGAAATTAGAATGCTTGTAAAATATTAAGGATTGTTTAGTCAGACACTTTTATGTATTCATTTTCGAGATGAAATTGATAAAACATTGCAAATGTATGATGTTTCTATATGGTGAAATCTACCCTCTGCTATTGGACAAAGAAACCATGCTGCTGGTTTTCGGGACTTACTTAATCAGTTAGATTCATAAGGTTAACTGAAATGGTGTTCCCGATTATTTATTTATTTCACATATTTGTATCCCGCCTTTTTCACCCTAAAAGAGGATTCAGGGTGGCCTTACAGCAGGCAGCGATTTGATGCCAATACAAATAAATATAAAAATAAACAAATACAGTTAAAATCATACAATTAAACATTAATTATTAAAACATCAATTAAAATCACATGATCCAGATCATATTCCAAGGCCTGTCCAATTATCAATCCAATTAGTCCGTTATCTGTATTGCATTATTTGCTAGTTGAATGCTTTGTCACACAGCCACATCTTAAGCTTCCTCCTGAAAGACAGGAGAGAGGGAGCTGACCTGATTTCATTGGGGAGGGAGTTCCATAGACGAGGGGCCACCACTGAGAAAGCCCTGTCTCTTGTCCCCACCAATCACACTTGCAAAGGTGGTGGGATCAAGAGCAGGGCCTCCCCAGGTGATTTTAACTTCTGAAGTGGGTCATAAAGGGAGATACATTCAGACAGGTAAGCTGGGCCAGAAGCATTTAGGATTTTATAGGCTAAAACCAGCACGTTGAATTGTGCTTGGTAGCAGACTGGCAGCCAATGGAGTTGGCATAACAGGGGGGTTTGTGCTTCCTGTACACCACTCCAGTAAGCAATCTGACTGCTGCCCATTGGACCATTTGAAGCTTCTAAACAGGCTTCAAAGGCAACCCCACATAGAGTGCTTTGCAGTAATCTATTCGGGACGCAACACTATGGACGGGCACTATTTTTTCTTCTGCTAGAAATTATAAAGACTTTTGGAAATGACATTTTAGATGAGTGAAGATTTTATCTTCCAAAACAATAATGGCTATGGGTTGTTGTAGGTTTTTCGGGCTATATGGCCGTGTTCTAGAAGCATTCCATACATGGCCATACACCCTGTAAAATCTACAATAACCCAGTGATTCTGGCCATGAAAACCTTTGAAAATACAATAATGGCTATCTTGAACTGTTGTCTCGGATAGTTTTAGAATGGATAGGCATTGTTCAGATAGAAGAATGATTAGCTGAGAGATCTGTTGATTTGAATGATGGTTGTCAGGGGTATGGATTTAAAATTACACAGAACACACCTTTTCTGAACACCTGAAGTATAAGGAGATTGGGGGGGGGGGGTTAGACAGTTTGATGAACATGTTAAACATCCCATTAAAAACAGAATAATACATCAATTTAGTAAAGCAAAGAAAATTATTTCATCTTTTCTCATTTTCCATATTGCCAAGCAGACACAATGTACTTATTCCCAAAGAAAAAACACATTCTTACCTAAAAGTCTTTCTGTGAAATAGTTTTATAAAAAATAATGTTTGAGGAATAAATATAAGACCACCTTTTCTTAAACTTTTGAAAGAAAATTTCCTGGTTTTTATATTGTTTTGCTTACCATTCTTCTGCCATGGAAGAATAATTCACAGTGAAAGTTGGTTAAAACCCAAGATATTGGAACATTCATTAGGCTGTAGTGCTTCATGTTTCTGAGGTAGATTCTAAACTCTGATAGTTCATAATATCATAAATGTTCATCTTCAAGCTAGTATAAGACAATTGAGGGTGAGCTTCCAGAGATTTTCCAAAATCCCAAAGATATCATTGTGTGGAATGTCACTACAACATGTTGTTTTCCAGAAATGTAGAGCACACTGGGCAGAGGGGCAGAAAGCCTGTACTTCGATTGGTTTACTCGCTGTGTTATGTATAATGAGGGTTTTTTTTCTGAGCCAAACTTTTGAGTTTTGTTTCTGCTCTTTCTGGTGATTGGCTTACTGTTTTTTTCTGTATTTTATAGGTCTAAAGGAGTCATAGTAAATGTGTCATCGATATCTGCAGTTAGTCCAACTCCATTTTTAGCTGTTTATTCAGCAACCAAGGTAGATGCCTAGCTTTTTGATATTTAATGTGCTAAACTTTTGCATACAAATCTGTGGGTAATCAAAGGTGATACATTCTGGAATGCATTTCCTTGCACATTAAGGTAGAGAACTTCATTTTTTAAAAGGAAGGAAATGTTTTATATGTTAAATGAAAGCATGGGAGCATAGGCCTCCTCTGTGAAGAAGCGTTAATACTGGAGTCCTGTTTTACCTTATCATTTGTAAGACACTCCCATTAAGATCCAGAGTGGTTTGATTACATTATTACGATAAAATAATAAATACTGTCCTGACGCAGTGTACACAAGACTAAGCTCTCCCCACATCTTGTTTTGCTTTTGCCAAATACATTTCTTTTTGACAATTACTTAGCAGCAAAAAGAATGCAATATCTCTTTTAATGAATTAATCCCTGTGGAAACAGTGGAGCTTTACTCTGAATAAACATATATTAGATGCTTCTGTAAGTTAAATAATTTTCATATCACAACTAAGAATGCATAATTCTCAGTTGAGTGCATGTTTTGATCCCTCTTTATTGGACTGTACGGTAGACAGGCACTGTGTATTGTAATAAAGCAAATGTTTCTTTTAAAACAATTTAATCTTTTCAAGTCTATTAAAAATGTAGAGTTACAATCTCTGTAGAGTTATAATCTCTAATACTCCAAAGCTGAATGTTGCACATCTAAGGAATTGTAGTTTGTGCACTTCTAAGATGCGATATTTCCTAGACATCCCACCCCCATTTAAGGCTGATGAAAATGAAAACAGATTGATCATTATTAATGTGTTTAGGGTATCAAGATGTAAAAAACATGGAATGATTTAATCCTGGAAATTATAGCAACTGTCCATACAGATGAATATTTGTCTGCCGTGATGGTATACTTTTCTTTTGAGATAATACCTACATTCCCCTCAAGGCTTAGGGGTGGAATTTAGTATTTTTGTTAATAAACATGGATGGTTCTGCATAAACAGAATTCATAACATGCTTCTCCTCTTACATATCTTTAGGCATTTGTGAATTACTTCAGTCACTGTCTCAACGTAGAATACAGAAGGAAGGGTATCATTGTGCAGGTGAGCAGAATTGTTTCCTGTTGGGATTACTTATTTTGCTGTTAATTGGGTAACATAGATTGTAATAACTCCAAATAGAGCAGTTTGCTCTTGGTGCCATTCCAAAATGAAGTTTGGGGGCAGTGTTTTCATTTCTCATGGCTTTTTCAAGGAATGTTCTCCTGAAGGATATTCTTTTGTTGCTGTTTTAAGCATCTCTCTAAGACTTGTTTCCAATATTTTTAATTATCTTGAAGCTGTTTATAGATATTTTTAGTGCCAAGATGATGGGGTGGAGGAATATGTGTGATGTCTTATGATATAAGCAAGTTTATGCCTATATTTTACAAGAAAATGGAGTAGAGATAGGTGAAATAGATTTGCTTTTATGGGAGAATCCAGCTTTTAAGTGAGTGGGTGTTAAAACAGTTTTTGTTGGTAGGTTTTTGTTTTAAAATGTGCAATTTGTCATGTGAAAATCATTATCAGACTAGAATAGGGATGCAGTAGACAGTGACACATAATAAAGTAGTGTACCAGATCCACAGTTATGGGAGGGGATGAAGAGTGTACAGCTCTCTAGTTTTATGTTGGAAAGTGTATTGATGCCAAAATTGGTATAACGTTGTAATTATTTTAGTTTAAGCTCAGTTGTAGCATTCAGTGGTTGATTCTTTGGTGCCACCTAGTGCTGTAGCTGGTTGTTGGAATTCTGAGACATGGGCCAACTCCTGTTCTGCTGCTGGGCATTCTTTCCCCTCCTGTGTAGCTCTCCCGACTGGCAAAAATGTGACTCCCGAGGTTTTCCCAGACCCCACAGAGTCTGTTTTGGGATTACAGCTCTTTAAACTGTAAACATCTAGAATTGTATCCTGCCTACAAATTGCCTTAACACATCAATGTAAGATAGCTGAGTAGACTAGTGCGCATATAGAGAAATGTCTACATCAAGTTCATCCAGCTGTGACTCTCATCTTGTATGAAATGTTACATACTGAAATTAGACAGACTAAATTAATGTATCAGGCTATTGTGCATTTTAAGGAGATGACTTATTTACAAAACCAAAAAGCAAAATATGAAAGAATTATGAACATATTTCTGAAGTGATTGTACAGTAGAATCGTTTTAGAGCTCGCAGCAGAAGCAGAACTTAATGTACAGTTCCCCCCCCCCCCATAGTAGACTAATATGGAAGACACAAATAGCAGAGAAAAGCTGGTTTTGGGGGTCAAAAACTAGCAGAAAATACACCCAGGTATAGAAGGTTCGGGAATTAGCCACATAAGCACAAAATTTGCCTTAGTGTTCCATGAAACCATATGAATACCTTTGTCACAAAAAGACAAGAGCTTGATCTGCAATCTTTTGCCTTTCTGCGGATTTGCCCAAGCTTCTAAGTTGGATAAACACTGTCCTTCCATGTGAACAATATATCATCTTAAAATAATATTGTAGATTGGGAATCTCCTCAGATTTAAATGCATTTTTTCCTCCAAAAATGCTTCTGCCTAAATCATACTAAAAAGATACAAGAGCAAGCTTTTCCACAGACACCCTCCCCAACCCCCTTGGAATTATGAAATGAGCCTTTTCCTTGAGAAGAAAGACAACATTCTGAGTTTCAAAACCCTTTATTATTAATTAAATAATACTTCATGACAACCCCAGAGCTAAGATGAAAATGAAATGTTTAAAATTGTAAACCAACAAAGAGAAATTATAAAAATAAGAAAAATGTTTACATGCCTTTAAAAAATAAGCACAGTTGCATTTTCTGCATTCAGCTCAAATTTGTGTTGAGAATTTATACACCAGTTTAAACAAGTTAACAGGTGAACAACTATGATCTCTGCTGGTGGAAAGGAAAGATATAGGGCTACATTTGCTTTCAAGCTTCTGTTTCTGTTTCTCTTTAATTTTGGATTATTGGAATTTTGAATTGCACTATTCCCTTTCAGTTTGTCTTATTCCTAATATGATAACATTAATTATAATCTTTATGTCTTAATATGTTTTTTTCAGAGTCTTGTGCCATATTTGGTGGTTACAAATATGTCTAAGCTTCGTAAAGCAAGCCTTTTTAGACCTATGCCTGGGTGGTTTGCAAAATATGCCATCAATACAGTTGGCCTTGAGTCTGAAACTGCTGGATACCCGTATCATGAGTTGTGGGTATGTATTTTACAAAGCTGACCACTCTTATTATATATTATTTGATGAAATAAAATTGTAACTTGGTACAATTCATGAATCTCTTGAGTTAGGAATCTGTAAATGTCTATAGGAGTGAACTGGTAAACACTGTTTACTAGGACTCCTCACTAAAAATCCCTGAAGAGGTGAACTCTAGAATTCTTATTGGCAGGGTCATAAAAGACCCTGGAATTAGGTGGGCAGTGAAGCAGGAAAATTTGCTGAGCATCTTAAATTACTGCTTAGGACAGTCAGAAGAAATATGGATTGTGAAGGTCTCCAAAAGGTTGCTCATTGCAGCCAGCATTGTTGCCAACAGCTTTAGAGGGGATTTGAAAAAGTTAACAAGAGAAAGGGTCTGCTAGTTTTGCGTGCATTTATTTTTTATGTTTCTATGTATTCCTACAGTAGCACAGGCACCACACCTCTATATATAATTTTGTGGGGCATGAAGAGCAAAATGGGCCATCACTTCTTTTTGCACACACACACTTATCTCTGACAAAGATGCTGTTATAGTCTTGGTCAGAGACAAGTGTGTGCGTGTGCGAAAAGAAGTGGTGATCCAAATAGCCATTATCCATTCCTTACTATTTTTGGGAAGCACATTGCTAGTTGTTAGATGATTATTCTGTTTCTCCTTTTATTTTTAGGTCTGGCTTATACACATGCTGCCTAGATGGGTAGTTGACCAGAGCTCCACAAGACTAGCTGCTAAATCAAAACATAATTTGTTGAAGAAACAGAAGGCAAACTAAGTGATAGCATCTTGAGAAGTTCCTCAGAAGTTTTGTACCTGCATTTAAGACACTGAATACTTTTTAATCTCTTAAATTCTTGACAAGTTTTTTAAAAGGGGGCAGACCTGAGATTGGCATGAATGAAGTAAATTCTGAGGGCACAGGCAAAGCAATATAATATAATAATATTAAACTTTATTTATACCCTGCCACCATCTCCCCAATGGAGACTCGGAGCGGCTTACATGAGGCCAAGCCCAAACAATAAAATTACAATAAAATAAGACCAAAAATGGAAACCGAAAGCACAACAACATAATTACATGAAACATGTGAATAAATAACGATACAAAATTACAATAACACAATCACAATGACAGTGGGCGGGCTACATGTAATTATTAAAAGAAAGACTCATTAAAATTGGTTAAAAACTTGGGTGAGATAAAAGAGAAACCTACTTGTATACTTTGTCATTCTGCACCATTGTTTTATGTATTTTAGATAAGATTTGAACAATAATTAGTATTCCTAGTTACTAATTTTACTGAATTTATCATCAGAAAGGTTTGAAAAAATATGTGTGAGAAATTTGGTAGAAGTCTAAATAGAACATTATTGGAATTGGGAACAAACCATTGCTGTTCGATTTGAGCTAATCTGTGCAGTATTTTCTTAACTAATAATATATTTTTATTTGTTTTGTGCATTACAAAAATGACACACTGAATTTGGACAAATTCTTTTCCTATATGTTGGCCTTGGTGTGTTTGTCTTGTCAGCTTTTGAATATCCATCATATAAATGACCTTTTAGTTAATGGAGAGGAGGGAAGAAAGTAATCCTTGTAGTTAATGGAGAGGAGGGAAGAAAGTAATCAAAACTTTCTTACTGATGTTGAGGTGAAGTAATGATGATATTGTGGACTGGACTGTTAACTTTGCAGATATAGCCGCCACTCCACAACTTCAGTCCTGTAAATATGAAACTGCAGTTTCATATGTAATTTAGGTGAGGAATTTCCTTGATGTCTGAATTGATTTCATATATTCAGTATAGGTTATTCCTTTTAATAAAAAGTTATCATGGGCCACACAGGGCGGGCATTTATATTTGTCTTTCAACATTTAAATATAACAGACTATAGAAATTGACACAAACATTGCAGTTACCCTGTATGTGACTGGCTTGGATTGAGAAATGTGCAAAAATTGTTTCCTTTTTTGTTCCTGGGATCTGGGAGCCTTTTAATCAAGTTGTAGGATGGGGTGCAGATAATTACAAGAAGTGGGTAGCATCTTGTACAAGTACGGCTACCCTTTTATACAAGAACACTATTAAAGCCAATCTTGTATTGATACTTGAAGTACAGTAAAATACAGTGCATGAAATAAACTTCTTTATCACAAATACATTGGTCTTAGGTTACAGATTCAGATTCATATTAAAGTACATCTTTCTAACCCAATAAAATTCTTTTTCCTGTCTTTTCATGTTAATTATGATTTAAATTCTAATTCCCAATGCTTGCACTGTTCAGCTGAAGTCAAATACGATATTTTTGGCTCAAATGGACAGAAAATGCTATGACCATGTCCTTTCATTTTTTGTTGAAAACAAGTTTATCAGGACTGTTTTCATTGTATTTTCCTGCATAGCAGGGGGTTGGACTAGATGGCCCTTCTGGTCTTTTCCAGTTCTATGATTCTATCTCTACATGACAAAGAGTAAATGAGCTCAAGGTTGAAAGCAAATAATCTCATGAGGACTAGGGATAGCTGAAGAATGGCAGAGTGGGAAAGAGGAGATTTGCTTCCATCATTCCATTTGAAGTTTGGTGTCTTGGATCAACCATCATTGCCAGAAATGTATATACAGAGCGTTGATTCATGTATGTTGAGCACATTTATTGATACTAGAACCTCTAATATCAATTCCTTATGAAGGAATAATTTAAGTCTGATCTGAAAGTGAATGTGTGTTTAAATATTGTACATAAAAATAAACGAAAACCGATGCAATGGTGCTGATCAGGAATGAGAAACAAGTTTGGGATTTTTTTAAATAGAGTGTTATTTTGGACACATTTGGATTTTAGCTACACAGAGCTACTGTTAAGATTGTTGGAAGCGGGAAAATTGTATTTGAGATTGCTGGAATGCCTATGTAATTGATTGCTTTTTTCTAATCTATTCTATAAAACATTAAACTTAGACTAAAAATGAGAACTACCAAATACTGATGTGTTTCTTTATTTAATAAGGCTTTTCCTATATTCATCAAGGTGCCCTATATGAGTCTTGTATGTATGTACTATGTATATAAGACTAGAAATTTTAATAAAGAAAAAACCCCAAAACAAGTGACTTACCAATGACTCTACAGAAATACTGTAGCTTAACTCTTTATATATATGTACTAGCTGTACCCTGCCACGCGTTGCTGTGGCCCATTTCAGTCTTCCCTTTCTGCTTCCCTTCCTTCCTTTTTTGTTACCTTCCTTCCTTTATGTCTTCTGTGTTTCCTTCTTCCCTTCCTTCCTTCTCCTCCTCCTTCTCCTTCCTTCCTTCCTTCCTTCCTTCCTTCTCGTCCTCCCTCCCTCCCTCATTCCTCCCTTCGTTCTGTTTCTGCCTGCCCCTTCCCCTCCGTGATGTTGTGCCCCTCGTTCCTTCCTTCCTTCCTTCCTTCCTTCCTTCCTTCCTTTTTTCTTTCTATCTCTCCTTCCATCTCTCCCTCTTTTTCCTTCCTTCCTTCCCTTTTTCTTTCTTTCTCTCCTTCCTTCTCTCCCTTTTTCATATCGTACTATCATATTATCCCCGATGCCTTTGCCCAATGAGTTGGATTCCCAGGGCAAGGGGCGCGAGTCTCCTTAGAGCGCAGCTTGTGGGCGGAGCTCCGGGACAGGCCCCGCCCCCTCCTTCCCCCTCCCTTTGCGGCGGGGCCCTGATTCAGGCGCGGCACGTGCCGGATCCCGGGGCATTTAAACGCCGGCCGGCCTCCAGCCCCGAGAAGGGAGTAGACCCGCCTCCTTCTTGCTTTTCTCCCTTCTCCGGTTCGCTTCCCTCCCTCTGAAGCCGCCCCAGCCATGAAAGCCATCCCTGCGCCCGGGATCCGCTTCCTCCGCTCCTTCTCCAGGGACAGCTGGTAAGCAAGGCTTCTGTGCCCACCATTCCTCTCCTAGGCAAACGCTTCGGAGGCTTCTTCTACTGCTAGCCAAGCTTAGCCATTGTCAAAACCCGGGAGGCTGCTCCTTCCCTGCAATCCTCGGCTTCCCTTCCCTTTTGTCCTCCTCCAAAACAAAGCGCGTCTGTGTGGGAGATGCTGCCCAGAGGGGGGGGTGAGGGGCGGCGGGTGTGCGCGTGGCGGGGAGTTTCCGCCGCGCGCGCGTGTGTGCCGCCGGGGGGGGGGGGGGGGGGCGGCGGGTGCGCGCGTGCCGGGGAGTTTGCGCCAGTGCGCATGTTCAGTTGTTTTGTGGTGTTTTCGTCGTTGCAGTTGTGTTTGCTTTACTTTGGAGTAGATTAGTTTGTAGCGAGTGGGTTGTCCTAGGGGCATGGGAATGTTGGTTCAGTTTCGTTGGGGGGTTGTGGAGTTATGCGACGCCGTACGACGCCCCCTACAGATTTATATATATAGATGTACGTATGTATAAGGAACCATCCTCTAAATGGAGCGGCAAAAGGCGAGAGTTTAGTTTATCGTGTGAGATCCTAAAAGAAGCCCTGAGATACAATAATATCTTCACCACAACACAACTTCTAGCCTTTTAAAACAACTTGGTAGAAAAACAACAGAAACTGACTGGCACTTTTCCCTCACTGCAGAATGATCCTCAGCTTATCCACAGGTGACACAAAAATCCATAATTTGGACCCCAAAACTTGTCCTTGAAGTCTACAACAGTGGTTCCCAACCTATGGTCCGTGGACTATCAGTGGCCTGCAAGAAAGGAAATATGGTCTGCGGCCTGACCATTACTACACCGTTGCCTTGAAGCCACACAGCAAGGAGAGTGTCTGGTCTTGCGAAACCCTCTTATAGTGCTGAGGCAATGGGGATGTTGGGAGGGGAGAGGCTGACTATCCACAAAAGATTACTACTACCATATGAGCTCTAGATTATTTATTTATTTCACATATTTGTATCTCACCGTAAAAGGGGACTCAGAACGGCCTTACAGCAGGCAGAGATTTAATGCCAATACATATAAATATAAAAATAAACAAATACAATTAAAACCATACAATTAAACAATTATTAAAACATCAGTTAAAATCACGTAATCCAGATTGTAGCCCAAGGCCTGTCCAATTGTCAATTCCATTAGTCCGTTATCCTTATTGCACTATTTACTGGTTGAATGCTTGGTCCCAAAGCCACATATTAAGCTATTCCTGAAAGACAGGAGGGAAGGACCTGGCCTGATATTAAATATGGTTTTCTATGGGTGACTGCTAGGTGGCATATGTTCTGTATCAGAAACTTGAGCTGATGTGATCTATCCAATGCAGTTCTCTGAATCAGCACCCCAAATAACCAAACCGAATCTAAAGTTGATCACAAACTGATACATAACCTTTTTGGTACTAATGTTGGAGAGTGGTCCCTGGTCAAAGCAGGCCCCTGGTGAAATTGGTCCCTGGTCAAAAAAAGGTTTGGGAACCACTGGTCTACGTGAAGTGGACCTATATACAAGTATATATGATACTTCTAGAACTTGACTCTCCTGGGCCTAACAACACATTGGACATACCATACACAGCAACAACAAATCCCTAATATTACTTATTTGTTAATTAAAAGATGTCCGAAGGAGTGAAATAGTCCCCTGCTCTTCCATCAGATTTCCTCTCTTCATATTTTTGACAGTTTTTACAAAGTTTTTTTCATCCATCTCTTGATTTACTCAACTCAGAAATTTTTAGGATTGTAACTCAAGTGTTTGAGTGCTAATTTTGTTTCAATTCAGTCCTTCACTGTGATGTTAGGACTCAGTTTAGCCGTAACGAAATAAAGGACACAAGATAAGGCTTTCTCTATTGTGCCACCCCAGATGTGGCATGCCCTCATCGCTTAAGGTGCTAGTAGTGCTGTCACTTCAGAATCACGGGAAAACATGGCATTTCCCTAAGATCTTTGGCTTCAAAATGATTCTTGCCAAATTTTCACTGGTTCTAAAACTGCTTTAACTTGTCAAATTCAGCTCAATTCATTTCTTATGCTAGCCAAGAAAATCATAAAATAACAACTTTCACAATAAAATCTACCCCCAAAAGCAGTAATTAAAATTATTTAACTCATATAAAGACTGATAATATTTCAAGTTGTATACTTCTAAGCTGCCCAGTGACAATCAAGTTAACACTTGGTGGCAATTTTATCTAGCTATCCCTTTGATATATTTTATTTTGCAGACAAAGCGGCCACTCTATGTGTTAGATAACACTTTATAATAAAATTAGGAGGGGAGGATCTGTTCTTGGTTTGAAAGTGTTATTTCCTGTTCACTTACTTTGAAAGTAGTTGTTTTACTCCAGAAACTTCATTTTTGTGGCTGCCACAAACTATATTGAATTGTTTGAGACTCTGAGATATTCATTGAAAAACTATTGCAAAATGTGCTGCGGGATGTCCTGCAGAAACATTTTTTTTTGCAGTTTAATAAACTTTTTCCATATTTTTATGATAGAACCAATAAGGAAATGACATTTACAACCCAGGAACAAAAATCGTGTTACATAGTATAATATTATCACTCGGGGAAAACATGAACCCATTCTGTAAGTTACTCCATTTGCCAGCCCTGCTCTCGGTCCCACCTCCTTCGCAGACGTGACAGGTGGGGACGAGAGACAGCGCCTTCTCAGTGGTGGCCCCTTGGCTGTGGAACTCCCCAGTGGAATCAGATCAGCGCCCTCCCTCCTGACCTTTAGAAAGAAATTTAAAATGTGGATTTGGGACGAAGCTATCAGACAGTAATTTTTCAGTGCAATAAGTGAATACGGAATAGTGCAATGACAACTGGAATGGCTTAGGACTATGATTTTGGAATATGTGGTTTTAATAATTGGTTTTAATGTTGAGATTTTTAAATTTGTTTTAATGTATGTTTACTTCATTTATATGTATTTTTCTGCGGCATCAAATTGTTGTCTACTTTGGGTCGAGAAATATAGTAAGTAAATAAATAGTAAATTTGAGAATTGAGAACTTGAAATTAAAACTTGGCTTTTTAAACAGGCCTTTGACAATGGCAAAATGTAAGAATTCCTAATAACCAATCAATCGGATTTTATGGCTTATCTTTATCAGAACAATGGCTGGGATTTTTAATGTTGTTTAAACTGTTTTTATATATAATTGTTTACTGATGTTTTGGTTGTTTTGCGCTATTTTTTGTTTTAATTCGATATGTTATCTACCTTGTTTATATTATCAACTAGGTTTTATTTTGTAATTGTAAGCCGATCCAAGTCCCTTTTGGGAGATGGGACAGGGTATAAATAAAGTTTTGTTATTATTTGATACACAACACAATTAGTACACAGCCAACAAGATCACTATGCTGGCTTTAGTATTGGATCACACGTCGAACACTTCCCAAATGTCTAGAACTGTGTGAAGTATTGGCGAATAATGCATGCAGATCCCAGTAAGGTGGCCTTGTGCAGATGGAAATTTTGTCAGCGCCGATTGTGTTTAAGTGCAGGCCAAGGTCTTTAGGCACTGCACTCAGTGTGCCGATCACCTCTGGGGCCACCTTTACTGCCAGGGTCTCTGCAGTTCAATCTTTAAATCCTCATATCGTGTCAGCTTTTCCTGTTGTTTCCCTGCAATCCTGCTGTCACCTGGGATTGCAACATCGACGATCCATACTTTATTTTTTAACACGATTGTGAGGTCACGAGTCCTCCAGAACTGTCTGTCTGTCTGAATTTGGAAGTCCGAGAGGAGTTTGGCGTGTTCATTCTCTGTAACTTTTTCTGGCTTGTGATCCCACCAGTTCTTTGTCGCAGGCAGATGGTATTTGTGGCACAGGTTCCAATGAATCATGAACAACGTTGTTATGCCTCTGCTTGTAGTCTCTCTGCACGATCTTCTTGCAGCAGCTCAGGATGTGATCTATTGTTTCATCTGCTTCCTTGCAGAGTCTACATTTGGGATCTGTTGTCGACTTTTCAATTCTGGCTTTAACGGCATTGGTTCAAATGGCTTGTTCTTGGGCTGCCAGAATCAGGCCCTCTGTCTCCTTTTTCAGAGTTCCATTTGTGAGCCGCATCCATGTTTTTTCTTTGTCAATTTGGCTCTCAATTTTTGCCAGAATCTGTCCATGAAGTGCCTTCTTTTGCCAGTTTTTTCTTCTGCTCTGGATTGTGTTTTTACGGTATTTGCTCTTTGTCTTTTGCATATTATTATTATTATTGAGAAATCTCTCTGTGGTCACTAGACAGGGAACCCTTTACCATGTAATGCAGAACTGTCTTCCATCTGACACTAGCTGCAAATACAGAGTCCTTTTTTTAAAGGGTACTTTGTACTTTGAATGGGCGGCAGCCAGGTTACTAACTGGTGCGACTTACAGAGAGCAGTCAACCCTCCAGTTTAAGGAGCTCCAGTGGCTGCTGTTCATTTTCCGGTCCAATTCAAGGTGCAGGTTCTTACCTACAAAGTCCTGAACAGTTTGGGACCCACCTACCTGCATGACCGCATTTCTGTGTACGAACCCACACAATCTCTTTGATCATCTGGAGAGGCCTTGCTCGCGCTCCCACCTCCTTCGCGGGCATGATTGGTGGGGATGAGGGAGAGAGCCTTCTTGGTGGTGGCCCCCCGACTCTGGAACTCACTTCCCAAGGACAACAGCCATGCTCTCAACTCTGGCAGTCTTTAGGAGGAGCCTGAAAACGTAGTTGCTCCAGTCTGCCTTCCCAGAATAAGGAAAACTCTCAGCAATATGCCCCCAAAACGCACTTTACCACCGATTTACGACTGACTGCGTTCCCTCATTTCTCTTTGAAAACACCTTGTTCATGCCCAGCGTTAATATTTTTCAATTTTAATCTATTACATTTGGCCCGGCCATAGGTTTTGTGTTACTGTTTATTGTTTATGTGATTTATATTAATTGTATTGTATTGATTTTGTTATTGCTTTTGTTATTGATGTACTGTGGGCTTTGACCTCATGTAAGCCGCACCGAGTCTCTTGGGTAGATGGTTGTTGTTGTTTATTCGTTCAGTCGTCTCCGACTCTTCGTGACCTCATGGACCAGCCCACGCCAGAGCTCCCTGTCGGCCGTCACCACCCCCAGCTCCTTCAAGGTCAGTCCAGTCACTTCAAGGATGCCATCCATCCATCTTGCCCTTGGTCGGCCCCTCTTCCTTTTGCCTTCCACTTTCCCCAGCATAATTGTCTTCTCTAAGCTTTCCTTACTTCTCATGATGTGGCCAAAGTACTTTGCCTCTACTATCCTTCCCTCCAGTGAGCAGTCGGGCTTTATTTCCTGGAGGATGGACTGGTTGGATCTTCTCGCAGTCCAAGGCACCCTCAGAACTTTCCTCCAACACCACAGCTCAAAAGCATCGATCTTCCATCGCTCAGCCTTCCCTAAGGTCCAGCTCTCACATCCGTAGGTTACTACAGGGAACACCATGGCTTTGACTAGGCGGATCTTTGTTGCCAGTCTGATGTCTCTACTCTACTATTTTATTGAGATTGGACATTGCTCTCCTCCCAAGAAGTAAGCGCCTTCTGATAGATGGTAGCGGGGTATAAATAAAGTATTATTATTATTATTATTATTATTATTATTATTATTATTATTATTATTATTGACTAGTTCGCGTTACACCACCTGACAACACTATTCGCTGCATTCATTCGACTAGATTCCTAATCTCTAGGCCTCGAGGCGTTTTGGACTTCAACTCCCAGAAGCCTTAGCTGCCTTGGCCGGTGATGGGGGATTCTGGGAGTTGAAGTCCAAAAGGCCTGGAGGACCCAGACAGCTTTCCCTTCCCTCCCCTCTTTAACACTCTGTTTGCTGAGTCTTCTTGATCCTGAGCGCTGAAAGAGGGGCGGGGCTAAAATCCCCAACGGACATCTTCGCCCATGCGCTCGCGAGGGCCGGTTTCTCTTACCCGATTGGTGCAGCGGAGAGGAGGGGCGTGGTTTACGGTGCGCGCGCAAGGCAGGTCCTGCGGGCTGGCTGGGTCGGCGCCTGGTGAGTGTTTGGGTTCCTCAGGAAGGAAGCAGGAGGAAGGTCAGCGCCGCTCTTCTCCGGTTGCGCCCACACTGGAGAATTAATACATTTCGGGCCCACTATAACTGCCACGGTACCTATGAATAATAGTGGGTGCTGCAGGCTATATTTCAGAGCAGGTATGAGCAAACTTGGGCCCTCCCAAGTGTTTTGGACTTCAACTCCCACCATTCCTAACAGCCTCGGGCCCTTTCCTTTTCCCCCTCAGCCGCTTAAGCGGGAAAAGGAAGGGGCCCGAGGCTGTTAGGAATGGTGGGAGTTGAAGTCCAAAACTCCTGGAGGGCCCAAGTTTGCCCATGCCTGTTTTAGAGGAAGGAATTGGCAAAACCTCAGAGTATTCCTTGCCTGAGAGAAACTCTGCAATTTGTGGAATTATCAGAAGCTGACAAACTTGGAAGGCATCCACACCACACACCTAGAACTGGCTCATACAGTGGATTTGTGAATCACAACTTAACTGGAGAATCAGAAGCCTGTGCCTTCTCAAAGCTGTTGAACTCAGTGGAGTAAACTGTTAGAATCTAATTCCATTCTTCATTGCCATTTGTGGTTTACAGCCTGTGTGCTTAATCATTCCTATGTTTACACCACCTGTAGAAGCTATAGGTATTGTCATATCAAGTTCTGACTCGATTGACCACATTTTTTCTATATTTTGAAACAGGAAAGAAACTACAATCAATTGTAACCGACTTATACCTTACTGTAAAACAGAACAATGGAGAATAAAAGGAAACGAGCCAGAGTGCAGGGCGGCTGGGCTGGCTCAATTCATAACAAAGGAGCTTCTTGTGCAGGCAAGATCTAGTTTCGATTTTATTAATTTATTAAATTCAAATTTTAAGTGAACTGAATTAAAGAGGGGCACAGCTCTACTTTTTGTCTTTTTCAACCTTGGATTGTATTTTCCTGCATAGCAGAGTGGAGTTGGACTGGATGGCCCTTGGGGTCTCTTCCAACTCTATGATTCTGGTATAAGATGCCTCATTGTATTCCAAACCTCACTGAGATATAATGCTTGTAGGACAAACAAGAGTGTAGTCCAGCTCTTCAGATATTAGTGGGCTCCTCAAATTCCTCAACATTGGTTGTGCTAGTTAAAGCTGCAGCCCAGGGCAGTACTTCGCCCATCTTTGTAGTTACAAGTAATTTAAATGTCCATTTTTATATAAGCCCATTTTTCCTACTTCCAACAGACCTTCTCAACCTCTGAGGATGCTTGCCATAGATGCAGGTGAAACGTCAGGAGAAATGCCTCTAGAACATGGCTCTATAGCCCGAAAAAACCCACAAGAACCTAATTTAAATGTCATTCAGATATATTCAGAGATGTGGGGGATACTTACTGTTGAAGTATAGTAACTATTTAAGAATATGATAACATAATAATATACCTTCCCCTTACATTATTTAAATTAAGGAAAATAAAATCAGTATGCTTCCAGGATCCTTTTTAAGCATATCTTAAGTGTTCTCTGTATTAATTCACGTGTTCCCTTGGAAGATTAGTAGAAGCCTATTCAAGTTTTGACTCGTGTTGAATCTACTCAGGTAGCTCAACTTAATTTTTATCATGTTCTTTATATCACTTACTGATTTTATGGAATGTTACATTGCTGAAAGAAAAACTATTTTACATGGAAATAAATAGATGAAGGCTTTTATATCCTATATTACACGATCCCATTGAAAAGCAAATTTACAGCTTTTCAGTCAAGTGTTCTATTAAAGTATAATGGAAATGTCCTCTTTATAGACATACATTTGCATACTGACACAGTACATTTGTGTAGTGGATTTTTTTAAAGTCAGTGATACTGGCAGTTACCACTCCAAAATATTTGTGAACTAAATTCTCGGTCCTTTGAGCATATCTTTGTTGAAAGGATTAGGGATCTCTATTGAATCGTACTATACATCCTTATGAAAGTTTCCAGAGATCTTCATGAAAAGTTGTGGGAGAAGTGTTCACAAATACACATGGTGTATTTGTGGACACTTTCCATATCTTAATTTTCCCTGAGCATGGAGGCACAGAATATGAATATGATTGCAAACATTAACTCCTTTAGTGGTTTTTCTTGCTTTTTGCTTTAGCTTCTGGAGTTTCCAATGCTAGGAATGAAGAATTGGAAAGCGCTACTCATTACCGGGTGAGAAGAGACAAAAAGCTTCCATCTGAACAGCAATTTGTATTTAAAGCACCAGAAGAGGTAAATCCTAATTTTTGTCATAGATACATGCCCATGAAAAAATTTATAGTCTGTTCTTTTGTTCAAATGATGTCAGAGAAGATTGCATGCATATATTGCCCCTTCCATGCTTTTATCTTTTTTAATGTATCTGAAATTAATTATCAACAACATTAGTAATAATAAATAAATAAGACAACAGCAAATTTATTACTAAGTTGGCATCACTATCCATTAGGAGAGGTATTTAAATCTTAGGCAATATTTTGGCCATAGCAGTTGTTTAAACATATGATCTTGTCTATGTCATTTTCTGCTTGGATATATAGTGAAAACATTGTCCTGGTTACTTGGTACTTTAAATATTTATTATTTAGATCATTTGTATGCTACCTGTCTGTGTTTCTTTTCTCCAGGAGGGTTACATATGTAACAAAACTTGAAAACACTTTGAATATTATTAAAATAAATAGCAAAAGAGAGGAAAAACTGTAGCAGACTTTTTAAAAAGTTTTGTTTCTGCCTTTATAGATAGAAAAATGAAATGTGTGGGAGGGGCATTTCTAAAATAATCAACATATGAGAACTTATATATATTCAAAATTATTATGTAGTCAACAAAACATTCCTCTTTGGCTGAGATACAGGCACGTGCCTGTTGTACAAAATTGTGGTGTTTTTCCCCCTAGGTGGTGCGCAAAGCCCCGGAGCCCAAAATATTAGAGTAAGTATATGTTCAGTATCTCAACTATAGAACTCACTCTATATGAACCATGCCCCATTTTGATATTTGCATTGCAGAGGCAATTTCTCCAGTGGTCAATATGCATAGTGGCTCCTGTAGTAGTATATTGCTTCACTTAAGTGCAGTTGGCAAAGTTTCTTCACCTAAATATTTTTTCACCTAAATAAACATATTCCGTGTGCCTAATAAACTGTAATTTCCCCTCTTCAACAGGAAACAGGGCCTGTATGAGATCAGCACAATGCCATCAGGAGTGTCACGGTAAGCAAATAAACCCCATGATTATGAAAATGTTTAGTACAGTAGGAGTCTGTCCTGGTACTTGAATCAAAAAGAATATTGTTAGCTGTGGCAAGACTGTTGCTTAGCATAGCTTAAATCTTGTGCCTCTGGTGGTGAAGAGATATCTTGTATGCATCTGACATTCTTGTTAATTCGGAAACTTAAAAAAGAGGCATAAATTCAAATTATAAAACATGTTAGAATGTATGGAAATAAACAAGCACTTCCATGAGTCCCCTTGGTGCAGTGGACTTTCTCTGAGTGGAACTGACAATTGCATTTAAGCCATAAATGTCTACAAAGGTTCAAAACTACTAGTCCCATTGATCCACGTGTTAATAACCATGTTTTCCTTCCAAAATACAGTTCCTTAAAAAAGTTAATACTATTCAGATCCTGGTTCTAATGGTATTTACCCAAAGTAACATTCTGTATAGCATTCATAGCTTTTCTGAGTAAGATTAATTTTGGAATTTTGTAATATTTAGGTATTATTATTTTTGTTTATCCCACTTTTTCTCTCCACAAAGGATACTCAAAGTGGCTTATTCAGTGGAGCTGTATTTTTCTTTGTAATGTTGACATTTCTTGTTCTCCTCCTTATACCAGACTTTGGTGTTTGGGAAGTTGGTCATGAATTTCACAAAAGTCAGCTAGCTCTGAATGAAAGCAATTTACTGAGAAAGGGAGGTTGCTTAATACTGTCTGAATGCAGTTATTAGTTATAGAACTAAACCCAAAATCTTGAAAAGCCCTTGAGAAGCTTGCTGAGGGCTGGTCATTGCACTCCTCTGCTGGATGCCAAGGATAGGACTGCATGGGGTTATTCCTAAATATAAAGGGGAACATGTACATTAATGTGCTTGGACAACCACTCTTGATTAGCTGTGCCTCACCATGTTTTCTTTGTTCAGAATTCATCTAATTCCTGGCTTCATGGACTTAATGGAAGCAGATTGGATGTTTGAACAACTTCTCCAAGAAATTCCCTGGGGGCAGAGAACACACGTCAGACAAGGTAACAGTGCAGCCATTCTCATTTAGTTGACTGCTCTTATTATGGCCAAGTCTACCAATAACACTTAGAAACAAATTTAACTTAACTTGCGGACTGCCTGTAATGTACTGTATTTGTGTGTTCTGCTTTCTTTGCCCACTTGGGGGCAGTTATGCAATTCCTCATTTCACATTGTAAACTAGATGACACAACTGTCCTGTTAACGGTTCTAGGAAATCTTCCTTACAATTACTACAAGCAGTTCTGAATATCTGTTGAAACCCCAACAAATTCCTTTTCATACAAACTACAGGCAATCCCTAAGTTACAAACAAGATAAGTTCTGTAGGTTTGTTCTTAAGTAGAATTTGTATGTACAGTGGAAAAGGTGTATTTTAAAAGTGTAACTCCAGTTATTTTTTTATTTTTTTATTTAGTTTTGGATTGCATAGGAAAGGACTAACATTCCTGTAACATTTGCTTGCTTGTCTGTGCCCCTGTTCAGAAGATTTCATCTAACTTTCTGTCTCTGTGACAATTGGATTTTTAAAATTTTGTTGTGGATACAAGGATTGGAGATAAAGTTTCATTGGAGACACTTTTTCTCCATGATTACCTTTCAGGAGTGCATTTCCCTTCCTAGAGGTAGATTTCCTCTCACTTCCTGTTGTTTCACCTCCATTTGTACTAGGAGTTGTATATACACCGGATGTTTGAACCTTGGGGACTGCCTATACCTAGAAAAAAGAGTTGGCCAGGCAATCATTTAGTAAGCTACATGCATGTGAACATTAGCAAAATATACTGTTCCATACAATTATTTCACAACTGTTCCAGCACTATAATAGTGTTTTGGAATCATAAATGTTCTTTTCCCTTTCTCTAGATCAATCTTATGATGAACCCAGACTCACAGCATGGTATGGTGAACTTCCATATACCTATTCCAAGCTTACCATGCAGGCAAATCATCATGTACGTATGTACTTATCAGCAGTGATGTAAATCTCAGTACTGTTCATCTCAGACGTTTTCATTGACTGCCCCAACTCTGTGGAATGACCTGCTGGAAGAACTCCGACAGCTAAACGGGTTGTCGGAATGTAAAAACCATGTAAAGACCTATCTCTTCCGGCAGGCATACCCGGACTGTCTTTAAGCATGAATTTTAAATGTATTTCCTTTGTTTAATCTCTGTTTTGTATATTTTAATATGTATTTTATAGAGATAAGTTTTGGTGTGTAGCTTTTTTGGTACATTTTAATATGTGTATTTGTGATGTTTATACAGTGTTTGTGTGTTTTAATTGTTCTGAAACCTGCTTTGAGCCATGATGGCTAATGCATTGGCATTTTTTAAAAAAATTATTTATTTATTTATAGCATTTATATTCCGCCCTTCTCACCCCGAAGGGGACCCAGGGTGGAGCAGAACATATAAACGGTCAACATTCAATGCCACGACATAAATAGACTATACACATATATAAACATTAAAATCATTAAAATAATCTATCTCAATATTAAAATCTACTGTTTAAACTGTTTCAATCATCTGCATTGAATCTGGTTGGCATGGTGAGGTTTCCTATTGCTGCCTTCTTGTACTGTCCCAAAAGCTTGTCCCTCAGCCAAGTTTTTATTATCCTTCTGAAGGAAAAGGAGGGAGGGGGCTGATCTAATATTTCCAGGAAGGGGGTTCCATAGCCGGGGGGGGGGGGGGCAATAAGTGAGAAGGCCTTCTCGTCCCCTTCAATTGCGCTTGTAATAGTGGCAGGACAGAGATCTTAATCGTCGCAGTGGTTCATAGGGAGAGATGCGTTTGGACAGGTAAATTAATAATAGTCATGATCATAAAGATATTAGTGGGTTTTTTTAAACAGAGAATTGGAGGATTTCAAAGTGAGCTGTCATAGTCTAACACTGTGAAAACTGAACTGTGCAAGTTTTATCATTAATATTTTTGAGGTTTTATTCCTTCCCTTTAGTGGTAGTATAACTGAACTGAAAGAAGTAGCATTAGTAGCAATCAGGATTTTTCTTAAAAAATATGTACTGGACAGTGAGAATAGAGTACAAAGCTCACATTTTCATCCCTTTTCACTTGACTTCCTATTATTCAACCAGTTCATGTCTTCAGTCAGCCCTCTTTTTTGTTCATCTGCATTATTAAGTTCTGCAAATCAGGGATAGCATATATGTCTTCTATAAGATGTTTCAAACTTAATTTTCTAAGCCCTTTAAAATGCAGTAACCTGGTAACTCGTTCCATAACAACTAGACTGCAAATTACTTCTCAACTTATAGTGAAGTTGTTGTATGATTTTGAGTTTGCAGAGTTGGCTAAGTGGGATACTGCAGTGAGAGGAGAGACAATGTTCGAAGGATCCAGTTCTAGTAGATAGTAGCAAACATTCAAATCATATTATATGAAGTGTCCTTCATCACATGGAGACACTGGCAAAATCAACACACTCTCATAGAATCATCTCGCCATAAGAGTGGGAATTGTGCAGATTTCAAAAAGTTGAGTTGTAACATTCTTTATTCCTTCCCATTGACTAGCCTAGACAGGACTGATGGGAGCTGCCGTTCAACAACATTTGAAGGGCTGCATAGTTTCCGCTCCTAATGTAAACCAATTCATAATCAGTTATAATTAAATGTCATAATTACCTATTACGGCAGGAATATAGCGCTTGTTCTGTTAGAAATTGCTAACATCTCGCCGAGACTCTTCACTTAATCTATAAATTGTAATATCTGAATGAGTTTGGAACTCAGTTACGTTTTATAATGCAGGCATCTGTGAGCAGTTTGATGAGTGCTTTAAACAGTTTAAAGGCGTACGGTAGATGGTACATAGGCCCCTTATGCACTGGCCATTTCATGCAGTTTCAAACCTGTAGTGACGAGAGTAGTTTTGCTGTGCAGATTATTGCATAGAAAAACCTGGAAGCAGTTAGAGGCCAGGTGAGGATTATGCAAACCAGAGCACTCATGCAGATTAATGGCTTTCTTTTGTGGGAGTTTATTATCTGGCTGTCACAGTTTGGAGTTAGCTTCATGATCATTGTAGATGGGGCCATAGTCAGAATAAAGCATTTAGTTTAGAAGTGCTTTAGGCCAAACCACTATTAAATGTGTGCTATAATATAAAATGTACTCCAGTATTGGTTATTACAGGGGGAAGGTAATCCTCCTCACAGGGCTCTTAATGTTTAGATGTCATCCAAGTCTTCTGAGCTTGGAACTTCTGATTGTTTGCTTGTGGCATGAGAGCCCTGATGAGTTGTAAAATATAGGGATTTAGATACAGACAAAATATGTTTATTGGGGCTCCAGTAATAAATTTTCTATCTTAAAATTTAGTTGATTGTAAGATGAAGGAGCACCTGGTGGTGCAGCAGATTAAACCACTGAGTTGCTGAACTTGATGACCGAAAGGTTAGCTGTTCGATTACGGGGAGTGGGCTGTGCGCCTGCTGTTAGTCCCAGCTTCTGCCAACCTAGCAGTTCAAAAACATGCAAATGTGAGTAGATCAATAGGTACCGCTTTTGTGGGAAGGTAACGGCACTCCATGCAGTCATGTCAGCCACATTACTTTGGAGTCGTCTATGAACAACATGGCTCTTCAGCTTAGAAATGGAGATGATTACCACCACCCAGAGTTGGATATGACTAGACTTAATGTCAAGGGGAAAACTTTACCTTTACTTTACTAAGATGAGGATATTTATAAACTCCTCATGGAAAAATCTTGCTCAAAAAATCCCATACTAGTTTTATCTTAGCATCACAATAACCTGGAAAAAACTTGAAGGCACACGACAACATTTTTATATTTATATATAATATAAATAAATATATTATATTTATATATAATATTATTTTTAAAAATTATTTTGTTATATGGAGCTTTGCAGTATTTCTAGATGTGTGAAATAGAAATTTATTAAGTAATGATGCTTCAAATTAACCTGTTTTCTGATATCAGTGGCATCCACTACTGACCATGCTAAAGGATCGCATTGAAGATTTTACTAAAAACACTTTCAACTCTCTGCTCTGCAACTTGTATCGGAATGAAAAGGACAGTGTTGATTGGCATAGTGATGATGAGCCTGCCTTGGGACGAAACCCTGTCATTGCATCGCTCAGCTTCGGGGCCACCCGCACATTTGAAATGAGGAAGAAGCCTTTACCTGTGAGTGTGATGGCATTTCTATACTAGAGAGCTGTGATGATCCAGCTTCTGAAAAGCCTTTGTGGATTTGGTGACCCTAAACAATGTGGTATAATGTGGTTCAGGGTATATTTGCCCTTCTGATTCCCAAATTGGCACCAGTTTTCCCCTATCAGCTATAGCATTTTAGATACAGAACATTTGTCATATACTGGTCTTGATTGTTCGTCCATAAAAAACCATGATAACCATATCTAAGAAACCAGAGCTAATGTGGTTTATCTAAATGCAATTTTCTGAATCAGTGCCCTAAATAACACCAGGAACAGGCCTACAAACCAAGACACCAAGATTTCTTGTGTTGTGCTGTGTTTATTTGACAATTGAATGGTAATGGAGTTTACAAGACAAGCAAATTATGTTTACGTTAATCCTATGATTACTAGTTATCAGTCACAAGCTGAAGATTCCGTTCATCAAAGTGAAACATAACAGTTTTATGATAGTTTTTATTTCTTTATATCTCAGTACTTTTTATATGATGTGTAGAATTGATATAATACTGGTTTATCTTTTTTGTTGTTGCCTAGCCTTTAAAAAAATAACAAAGGGTTTCTTCCAAAGTTCTCAGCAATACTCCACTGTGGAATACATCAAAATGGTTAAGTGCATCCATTATTCTGCTGCTTCTTTAATGTTATGTCATGGTCTTGACTAGTTTTTCTGGCAATACTTTTTTCAGTATGTCAGCATCAAGACTACTCACCAGTAGAGTCTGCTGTACACAAAAAAAATGTAATGACTTATAGGCCCATCTCTGCTGATAATCATGTTCTGGGAAAATGTTTCTAGACCACAGTGCATCTGAGCTCAATGTACTAGGTATAGGATGACAGTAACAGCCTTTAGAGTTGCAACTTTGATAGATTTGTGTAGAGCCGATGGCTGGAAAGAATCATCAACATTTGTAATAAAATAGAAAAAAATCACATATTGTAAGGCAGTTTTTGGTAGGTTATTCTTTAGGTTATAGTAAATGAGTGCAGTAGTCAGATCTGCCTCAGTAGTCTAAACTGGTGTTGGAATTCTCTTGGCTTGTAGTGTTGGTCGGCTTCAACATCCATAGAGACATTGCCCTGTCAGGAGTAGCTGAAGACTTGGCATTTTCTAGATTTTGGTAGATCCCTGGGGGCCCTGTTTCTGCTACGTTTCCTTGGGGAATTAGTTCAATGAAGTTAACCAGCTAGTTTTAAATCTACACTGCAGCATAAGCTATGAGAGTCAACAATAATAGCTAAGTGACACGTGGTAACTCTGTTCCTTACTTTGTAACCAAGGAAACAGTTGATTGAATGGAGGTGGAAGGAAGAATCAGGATGCCTCTGTTAAACAATAGAGGGATAGTCTTGATTTTATTGAAAAAATAGTAAACATTATTTAAGACAGCCCTATATAGGTGTCTTTTAAGGGAAACAACAACTGGGGTTGGACCCTTCTGTCCTCTGCACTGAAAAGGTATCTCAATTTTTTATAGAAGAAAGAAGAGATACTTTAAAGAGCAGGAGTTGTAGAGAAGGCATATTGCTTCATTAATAATGAACCCCAGATATTTCAAACCTGTGCTTGTTCCCTTGGTAGCCTCTCTGTCTTCCAAGTGATTTAGTACAACTGAAGAGTGCCTAGGCAATAAAGAATGCCTCTCCTGGTACAATGGTCAAATGATGGCCTTACAGGCATTGGACTTGAAATAATGGCTTTTAACTGGTCATTTAGATGTATTACAACACATCTGGAGGACCATTTGTAAAAGAAGGAATGGACCAGGCAGGGGCAAAGATAAATGTATCCTTCATGGATGACAGAACTTCATGAAACATTCTTTTAACTATGTAGTGGTCCAAGATAAATGAAAGAATGTAAACTTTTGAAAAGGCTTTGGAAAGCACAAGGAGTCAGGAAATACAAATACAATTAAAAGAATTACAATGGTCATTGTGATAACTCTAGCACAGACCAAAAACACTGTTTCCCAGTCTCTGTTTTTCTGGGTGTTTTGTACTTCAGCTCCCTGTCTTCCAAAAGATTTAACACTGATTGAGGAGTGCCTAAAAACAAAACAAGACTACCTCTACTGTAGGTAGATCAAGCATGGTAAAACTATGGCAATATAGCTTTTGGACCTGAAGTGGTGGTTTTTAGTTTCTGGTCCCTCCAGTGTTTTGTTATTTGTCTCCCAGAAGTTGCAGCATGCACAACTAATATCAAGTATATCTGGAAGCTAAAGTTTAAGGGTCATAGGCTGAAAGCCAGTGGAGTAAACCTTCAGCTCTCCATAACTGCTATTCAAAGAGGTGGACTGTGGCCCATTGCTGGCCCATGTGCTATCTGCTGCTAGCCCATAGTTTCCAGGCAAGAAAACAATAGCTGTAGCCTTTGGCACAAATATGGTGGCAGTCCCTGACATATGAAAAGGAAGAAGTATTGCTAGTTCACTACTGACTGAGATAGCCTTGAGTTTGGTCGTGTAATTGCTGCTCCACCTTCTTCCCAGGATTGGTCACAATTGTGCTTCCTTATTAAGTGCTGAGAAAGATGCATTAATGTAGAAAGGCTTTTTACACAGTAAAGCTGAATATGGTTTTTTTTCTTTGCAGGAGGAGAACAATGATTATTCATATGTGCAGAGAGTACATATACCCCTGGATCATGGGACTTTGCTAGTCATGGAAGGAGCTACTCAAGAAGACTGGCAGGTAAGAGTATCTCAGCATAGATATGGTACACCCACTAGGAAACCTAAAACTAGCAATTAATGAGCAACATGAGTGCCTTTAAATTGGATGCTTCCTAAATCAGTAACAGTAGGGTAGAGACCTGATACAAAAACAATGAAATAACGCTACTTTGTGATCTGGAAGAAATTACTCTAAACAAACTTTGTAGAAGCAGCTTCTGGAAATAAGGTCTAGGAAACAGAAAAACTGTCTTTGAATATTATATATAATATAAGAATCTCAGGCTTTTGGCCAGAAGTATAGTTTAAGAGCATGATGAAATTTTCACCTCAATGATTTAGAAGATTTTTTCCTGCACTTCTATAGTGAAAATTAATATCTGCCTATTTTGGATTTCTGTTTCAGCATCGTGTGCCTAAGGAGTATCACTCCAGGGAACCACGTATAAACCTGACATTTAGAACAATGTACCCAGACCCTGAAGTTTTGCACCCATGACTAAAAGACATCTTTGGTCCTCTACTCCTGCTACTGAGTCCAGAGACTAATGTTGATTTTGGTGGAAGAGTGCAAATGGGCTTGGTGGTTTGTTACCAACAACTAAGAGAGGGAAAAAGACATGGCTATAATGAGAGTTTGTTGCTGTTGCAAGTTTCTTGTGGTGAATGGTACCTTTTTCTAGGGCTGTTTGCTAATGCTTGCTGGTTAAACAACATGTTCATTAATTTGGGTGGGACTGTTTTAATCTGAGGATTTGCTAATCTGCGAATGCCACTTTTCATTAGGTTTGCCGGGGGAGGGGGGGGGCAGTTGAGAGCATTTTCTTAACAGGAGAAAGTGACTGCCTTCTTTTCATTTCCTTTTTATACTGTACTACATATATTGCATTTACCTTTTTTTATATAATTTTCTTGGTTAACAGTGGGACATAATCAGTGTACAACTTGTGGTGCTGCTAGTATTGCTCATAGCATTTGTTTTGGCTTGGGATTTTGAAAATTAAAGTGCCAATTAGAAGGAGTGTGTTTCAAGTAGAGAGTTGCAAGTGTGAAAAGGTGACACACAGAAAACCAGTAACAGAAACTGTCCCCATCTTTAGAACCTGTTTATTTTCACGGGCTTCCTCTACAGTGGCTAATGTTGTGTAATTCTACTAAATCAACTTTGAACATTTTTTATTTCCAAGCACTGGTTTTTGATTTGTCATGAACAGCAGCTGTCTCTTTCTCAGTTTAAAATAACACAAGCCACATACCCAGGTCTGTCTAGACGTCCCTCCTGAGCATCTGACCCCTAATTAGGGTAAGGTAAATCCAGTTAACCCAATTTTGCCCTGTCTTGACAGAAGTTAGGAAATGCTCTCGAATGCTTCAGGGTGAGTATAAATAACTGGACTGGTTGCAATTTCAAATTGGTCCCACTGTTCACATGGACTAGTGCAGCCATACAATCTTCCCTTCATTCTGCTTGATGGGGAAAGGTGGTGCCATTAAACCTTCATGTTGTTTATCATCACAGCAGAGGCCATGGAGCTCTGCAGGGGGCTTTTTATTGTAATTCACCTTTGTCAATGTCAGCAAAGGTGCCTATTCACCTTAGAGAGAAAAGGGAGATCACACTCTCCTTTCATCGTCGTTGTCGTGCCCCCCCCCCCCCCCCAATCCATGTCCCCATTTTGGAAACCAGAGTCCCTGTGGAGAATAAATGGGTGTAAACACCTCAGCATAATAAGAAATCAACTCTGAATTTATGTACTCATATAGATGGGCTTTTAGTTTTGTCTCAACATTTGTAGTAAAATTTCTGGGACTTAAGGGGATTGTTTCTCCTTCCTTGCTGTGGTCTGAATCAAGAAGTGGGAAAGGTTTTATGAAGATATTTGTTAAAGTTTTAAAAAAAATCATTGGCACTTATGTTGAAAGAAGTACATTCTTAACAAGTTAATTTTAACGTCATTTATATGTATATTATTTTTAATGAAAAGCTTAGCAAGAATGACAGTAAAAAAATCTCATCCATGAATTTACTCTTTCCTGTCTACCCTTGTCTACTTTTGGTTTTGGAACAAAGAAAACAGCTGTATGTAATTTTAAACCCCATTTCTAACCTACCAACCAAAAACCCTTCTCTTGCTTTCCATATTTCTTTCTAAATGCATATCCTTATCTTTCCTTTTGGTTTAGCTGATTCTCACGTGAGTCCCAGAGGTATGAGCTTACAAAGCCAGCATTCTGTGATAAATTAGGAATCTCTGTGGTGCCAGGATCATATGAATACAAAGTTCATTTAAACCGTGTCAATTCACCGATCTTGACAAACTAAAAAACAGTGTAAACATCCAAAACAGCCAAGCTTTTTGTAAAGAACCACACTAATGTAAAATTTGTTGGCTGTTTAGCAACGTGACTCATTAAGTTAATTAGCAAGTTATGGATAAATATTAATACTGAAATTCCAACACAAGTCAACCACTTTCATGAAATATATGTGTTATTGCCTATTTGCTGGCAAAATAATCTATATTTTAGCTAATTGCTATTGGTTAGTTTCTGTCACTTCCCCGAATCACTTAAATGTGCAATGTTGAAACGATGCAGTGGGTGATTAGTGAACTTTTCCCCTACCCATCACTTTTCTCTATGCAGTGCATACTTCCTGCATGCTTGCTGCACTAGCAGGGTATTCCAATGGCATATTTGTTCAGAATAGAGTGTACACCACTTTTACATCTATGGACAGCCCTTCTTAGCTATGAATTCTGCATCCATGGGTTAAACCATAAATGGCTTGAAAAAATATTTTTCTTCAAATCCAACAATCAAACCTTGATTTTGTCATTTTAGATAAGGGTCACCATTTCACTACGCCATTATACATAATGGGACCTGAGCATCCAGTTTGTATCCATGAGGAGTCCAAGAATCAAACCTTAGAAGATACCAAGGGCCCATTATATATTGTATCAGTAGTTTGAAGCAAAGCATGGCAAAAGAATAAAATCTAACTTATCAATCTACCTCCTTTATAATTTCTATCTTCCCTGGTGTTTTGCATGGGAAGTATTTCTGTTCTTAGTTGTCTTCACTTAAGTCATTCATGGGGTGACATGTAGCAGGATGATGGGCAATGATATAATCCCAAAATACCTCTTTGTCAAATATGCCTTTTCCAGTCAAAACATTTTTACTTTCAAATAGAACCTAATTTGGGATATATGTGTTTGATCCAACTTTTAAATCTGCATTTCTATACAGTACATTTTGTTTGCTTGAATTGTCTCGAGCTAACTTATGTTTTCAAAGTTCTGAAAGAATTGAGCGGCCAGTTCTGTCTAGGTCTTTTCCCTCTCCATAATTAAACTAAATGGGTGTTGTTGTCATACCTCCAACTGGCTCCTGCCTTGCCTGTTTAAAGGTAAAGAATGTGCCTGTTTGATCAGAATAAATGTCTCCTGTTCCTTTTGCATGGATCAACTTAGAGCTAGAAGCACAAGTAGCTTCTGGAGTCTGGCTTTTGTGTTTGCTTTTTCGTTCATGCTTGCTACATAAACTTTGTGATAAAAGTTGTCTTGAAGCTCCTACTCTGCCTAGTTGTGTTCTTTGACTCTAATATTTCAGAAATTATCATTTGACTAATAGCCCTTGGAAGATGGTTCTCTACACCATTAGAGCCATAGAGTGTATCCCACTGTTAGTCTGCAGAACTGTAGTTTCTCTGTTGTCCTCCATATTTCCTAATTACTAGTTTCCCAAAACACATTGCTTTCGTTCTGGTCCAAAATTAGTATTGCAGAAAAAAAGATGCTTGTGCACTTTTAGCCTTTTTCTTTCCAAGTTGTGTTACTTTCCACTGTAAATGTGTGCTATGAATTTACCCTATATACTCTGGTATAAGTTTAGAAATCCTGGATCGACTTATCCATGTGTTAGTGTGAGTGCTTTATTAAAAAAGATAACATCCCCTTTGAGTAGAGTAGCAAAATGCAAGAGCGTAGTCTCAGAAGCACCTAAACGGAGCATCTGCCCCCTCTACTCTCTCCACTGTAGCTCTGTTTCTGGCCTTTTTAAATATCTGGGTATAGAGATGACAAAAACAGCCAGGGGCAGCTGCTCCCAGAGGAGCATTGGTGCTTTCTCCTCTCCACAGAATGACTCTTGACTTATCCAAGAATTATATCAAAATCCATAATTTAGCCCCCCAAACCTACCCTTGATTTATACATGAGTTCAATTTCAACACAATATAAATAAGCAAATAAATACAGAAGCAACAGCTAATTTTTCTTTGCATGTGTTATCTGATAGGAATGTGTCTGCAAATGTCACCTGTATTGTCTGTCTTGGGATATGTCCATTGCACAGTTGTTGATAAAAGATGTAAGATAAAACAGTCTTTGGGATGGAAGAAGAAACAACAGGAACAAATACAAAAATAGTGGAACAAATTCAAACGAAAGAAGAAGAGGTATAAAAGGATGCTGAGCAAATTGGAAATACTGCCAAAACAAGGTTTTACCACCAAAAAAAATCAGAGCCGACAATGAAGGAGACCACAAAAAACATAAAGCACAAAAAACAGGCAACAAACCCAGAGAGATGTTTCTTTATAGTTTAAGGAAGGAGGGGGAAAATAATAATTTCATCATTATAATAATGAAAACAAAAATAAGTATGAATTAAAAAAAATCTGAAACACATTTACAGATTTTTGTGGAGTTATTTAAATAGAGACAGGTTCCAAGGGAGGTTGTAAACCGCTTTGAGCTCCCCGCAACCTTGTGAGAAAAGTGGTATACAAGCGACGTAAATAAATCAGCGAATGTGGCCTACCACAAATACTAAAAAGAACAGCTGTGATGGAATGAACCCATTGAACCTAAAAAATTACCAGAAGCAATTGTGAGGGCAAAGTTTTAAAAAACTGATCAAATGGATTGTCTTTAATTTATTATTTAAAAAGTAGAGGAAAATGTGCTTGAATATGCAGAGATTAATAAAGAAAATACCAATGCCTTGAGAAAGAGCTATGAGAAGTTTAATAGAGAAACAAGATCAGTATATGGCTAAAACAAGCAGTGATAGAACTATATTATTATAAAATATTTGTTTCAATCCTGGCAGAAAGAATTAAAGAGGCATTACAAAACTGTATTCATTACCTTCAATCTGACTTTCTTGCAAAAGGCAATTGCAAAATAAGCTGAGATGTATTTTGATATAATTTCTAGAAAATTACAATGAGATGGAGGCAGCCTTGATTTTTGTAGACACTGAAAGAGCATTTGATAATTTAAATTGGGATTTCCTACTTGCAGTTTTGGAGAAAACAGAATTTGCTAATATGATTAAATGAATAAAGGACATTTATAAATCACAATCAGCTAAAATTGTTGTCAACAGTGAATTAACAAAGATGTGCAAATTCAAAAAGGCGGTAGACAAGGCTGCCTCTATCACTTTATTATTTATTGCAACATTTGAAGCATTAATTGGAAACATTTGAAATGGAAAAAAATTAAAGGATTGAGCCTCCAGGAAGAATTCATGAAATCTGATAGCATGATATAATGTTTGAAAGAAATATTCCCAATTAACAGAAAACCTGATTCCCGTTTTGCATGATATTCACATTTGCCCTTTCTCTGCATCTGTTTCTGCCACTAAATGGATTAATAATATAACCGGTTGGAAGTAACTTATAATTGATAATGAACCTGTAAGCTTTCATTGTTGTTCTGGTCAATCTTAAATCTGCTATCAGATTTTCCTTCGTTTATTAAAACATCATCCAAATATGGATGTAACTGTACCTCTCTGCCTCAGATAACCCACGGGGGCCAGTGTTTTGGTAAACACATGAGGAGCTGATACAAAGCCAAACAGCAAAACCCTGAATTAGTAATGGCAACCCTGCCACTGAAATCATCGGTATCTCCTGTCTTCTGGATTTATAGGGACATGAAGATAGCCTTCCGCAAGCTCATAGAAGCCACCCACTCCATCTCCCTCATACATGTGACATACTGAATCTCAGCTCTCACAAACTCATTAAGATATCTGAAATTCAGCATGGGATGATTCATTCCATTTGCCTTTGGAAATGTGACAAAAACAGAATAACAACCATACTACATGTCCTATAAGGGTATTATTATGTTTATACCCCACTTTTTCTCTCCAAAAGAAGACTCAAAGTGGCTACCTCTATTGCCTCTATTTTATTAGATGTCTTATTTCTTGCCAAACTACCATTGTTTTTTCTTTCAGTACAGGCACTGGAGATGATTTGTTTGCCTTGGCTGCAAATAAGAAACTCCAGATTCTATTCTGCAGATAGAAAAGTTGGAGTTGAAAGGTTCAATACTCTTATCAATTCTGTGGCTGAAGGAACAAAGGAACACCATTATGCCTTTCTGCCAATAACACTATTGCAAAGTACTACTAAAGATACAGGAGTAAGCACAAATGTTGATGATTGCAGCTTTTTGACCGAGGACGCCATGGTTTCAGATGATAAAAAGAAATGGCAATAATGGAATTGTGGCAGTTGCCAGTTCAAACAGATTTGTTAAAGTAAGGTCTATTTTATCATCCAAACCCAAGCTGATTACATTTGATGGTTTGGGATTTGAATAAGGAACTCTAGAGTTCAACGGATATTCTTAAAAAGGTGACAGAAATTTTTTTATCAAAAAGAGAGTCAACTCACTAGCTTAAATGTGCAAGCAAAAGCAGCTTTTGAAAACAAGCAATTCAGAAGGGATGCAATTAGAGGATTTCTCTTAACATTAAGTTGTCCAGTTTATGCAGGATGGATTTCAAAAAGGTTTGAAACCTAATACTTTGAGAAGGTGGGTATCAACACTTTCAATTGAAGTTTTCATCAGCACACAAAGATTTTTGAAAGATGTAGCAAATAAATATTTTCTGACTCAACACAGATTTCTATCTTGGAATTTACATTTACTGTTGGATTGTTTAATGGAATCACACTTTGACCTTTAAGATGACTTTCTTAATAGCCATTAACATCGGTAAGGAGAGTTGGAGCTGTCAACACTGTCAGTGAATGTGAACTGCTGCATTTTTGAACAGGAGACATTAAAAGTCATATATTCTACATTTCTTTCTAAGAGGGTGTCATATATCTACCAATTTTCTGCCAAATGCCAGACCAACAAGGGAAAGATAGGTGGCATAAGTTGGATTTTAGGAAGGTAGGAAAGATTCATCTGAAGAGAACACAGAAGTTAAGGTGGACTGAATCACTGTTTCCCACAATTTTAGGATAATAGGGAATAGGGTGCCAGAAACAGTGATAGGCAGGATGATATGTGCTTGCATTCTGTTGTGTTATGACCTAGAAAATAAACAGGCCACAGCATGTCTATGTGAATTCAATGAAATCTATGTCTTCCTCAAAAGAATATTCCATGTCAGCTTCACTTGTAGTGCAGCAAATGGCACAGCTATCGATATTTGTAATGGACTACTAGCTAAATATAAGTAAGCCAAGGCAGCATTTGGAAGAATGGGCTCACAATCTGTGAAAGCAAGTCCCTGCCAGGGAGGTGACCCTGGTACATTCCAGATATCCCGAGAATGAGAATTATACTTACTGGGAATATTCATTCTGGGACTGGCGCAGCTGCCTGGGTGTCAGCTGCATTAAAGATCACTACTGACCGAAAGGTCATGAGTTCAAAACCAGCCCGGGTCAGAGTGAGCTTCTAGCCAATTGTGTAGCTTGTTGTCGACCTTTGCAACCCCAAAGACAGTTGCTTCTGTCAAGTAGGAAATTTAGGTAACACCTATGTGTGGGGAGGCTAATTAAACAAAATTTACAAGGCCATAAAAAATCTCCAGCAGAAGCATGCGGGGAATGTGGAAAGTACTTCATCAGTGTCGCTCCCCTGGTGGCCAGAAGTTGGAATGTTAAATAAATAGCCTCTGACTGTCTGTCTATATGTGTTGTGAGTCTATGGTGTTGAAAGTTTGCCATGTATGTGTACATTGTAAGCTGCCCTGAGTCCCCTGTGGGGTGATAAGGGCGGAATATAAATACTGTAAATAAATAAAAATGATGGGAGGAAAAATCCATACCCTCACTTTAAATCAGTAGTAGTGAATATCAATATTTTTAGGAGGTTTTCTGCTTGATTTTTAAAATAAAGGTGTTTGTATTTGGAAGGCTGGATAATAAAAACTGAAGGGAGAAGGGTAGGGTCTCAAAGGAAAGAGAACTTGGGGCACCTGCCAATGAGCTTTGGCACATGGACAAAACCCAGCTATTGCAAATTCTTCCTCCCATCATCCCAGCATGAATATTCTCTATAAGTACAACTTCTCATTTGAACTATCAAATTTTTCATACTCGCATTTTTTTCAAATCCTTCTGGTGGTAAATTCGTAACTAGGAATATTATTTATATTATTCAAATCTCATCTAACATACATTATAAACAATGGTGCAGAATGACAAAGTATACAAGTTGGTCATTGCTTTTCCTGTGCTCTCAGAATTTTCTTTTTTCATGCCAATCTCAGATCTGCCCCCTATATAAAAAAAACAAATGTCTGTCAAGAATTTAAGAGATGTCTAATTCTCCATTACTTGAATGCAAGTACAAAACCTCTAAGGAATTTCTTAAGATGAAACCACTTAGTTTTCCTTCAGCTTCTTCAAGATAACTCTTTTTGCATGAATCATTATTCTTGTCATTATCTCCTCAGCTACCCTTTTAGGCACCAATCGATGATACCAGACCTAAAATTGAAGGGAGAAAGAGACTCATCATCCAACAACTAAAGACCAACATAGCAATGTGCTTCCCAAGAATAAAAATAAATAAGTAATAACGAGTATTTGGATCTACACATCTTTACACACAATTTGATACTGAGCAATGCTACAATAGCTTCTTTTTCAAGTCCTTTAGAATGATATGTGGAGTTGTGTTGCCTGTGTTACTGTAGGCATACATACATAAAATACATGCTCACAAAATAACTAGCAGTCACATGTTCCATCAATGTTGTCTCATCCCCTTTAAAGCTGTTGGCAGCAATGATTCCATCTTACGATAAAGGATTCCAAAGTTTAATTATGTATTTAGAAATACTTCCTTTGATCTTTCCTGGATCTTCCATTATCCAGTGAGGTGCCTCTATTCCAGGTAGTAGGAATCACTTCACAGCAGCCTAAGCTGAATCATGTTTGCCATTTTAATACCAATTCTCCCATCCCTTTGGAGCTCTTTGCAATCTATTTTTATTCTAATTATCCTAAATAATTTAAAGTAGTCAGCAAATTTTGCTGTCTCATTCCCCGCCCAAATCCAAGTCATTCAAGAACAAATACCGTATTTTCCGGCATACAAGACAGCTTTTTGACCCTGGAAAATCCTTTCAAAAGTTGGGGGTCATCTTGTACGCTGGGTATAGATTGGCAGGAGTGGAGGAGAGCCTCCCCCCCCCCCCAGGGCCCGCAGGGACAGCAGCGACCTAGCGGCAGCCCTGCATCAATCCAGTGGAAAAATTCCTTCTTGGAGCAGCGGCTAAGGGGGCAGTTGCAAAGCCTGCCGGGCACGTGGAAGCAGCGGCGGCCTACCTCAGGCTGTTGCTGGGCTTTCGTTTGGCTGCTGTTCCTGCCACTGAGAGAGCAGGCCCAACGGAGGCTGATGGAAGGCCCTCCACAGCTGCAAATGCCTCCTGGGCCATCGCTGAAGGCACAGTAGGGCCTTCCATCGTCCTCTGTTGGGGTGTTGCTGGGCTGCCGCAAGGCTGTGGCTGACCTAGTGGGCCAGGCTGACCTAGCAGGCCCTGAATTGCGGCGAGTTGGCAGGGGCGGAGAAGAGCCCACCCACCCCTGGGTTCCCAGGACCAGCAGCAGCCAAGCAACAGCCAGGCGGAATACATTCAAAGGCCGTCCCATGCCTGCAATTGCCATGGCGGCTCAAGGGGCATTTGCAGGCATGGAAGGTCCCCTACTGTCCTCTGCCAGGCTTCTGGTCCTGTAGGCTCAGAGGGCCTCTCCTCCACCCCCAGGCCTGAGACCCCACCCCTGGCCCGCTGGGTCAGCTGTGGCTTTGCAACAGCCCAGCAACACCACAACAGGATGATGGAAGGCCCTACTGTGCCTGTAAACGCAGCGATGGCCCAGGAGGCTCACGAGGCCAGTAGCCCAGTGGAGAAAGCCCTACACCTGCAAACGCCCACCATTTGCAGGCGCCTCCCAGGCTGTTGGGAGTTCAGAATGCTCTTTGACTGCAGGAGAACTATAAATCCAAGCAGTGCCCAATACCAAGGTCAGTTTTCCCCAGACCTTTCCAGTATTCTCTGTTGCTCATGGGAGGTCTGTGTGCTTTTTGATTGCAGGTGGACTATAAATCCAAGGAGCTTCCAAATGTCTAAGTCTGTTTTCTCTGAAACTCCACCAAAGTTCAAATTTGGGCATATTGAGCGTTCATGCCAAGTTTGGTCCAGATCAATAGTTGTTTGGGTTCACAGTGCTCTCTGGATGTGTGAACTACATCTCCCATTAATAACTATCAATTCCTCCCAAACCCCTCCAGTATTTTTTGTTGGTCATGGGGGTTCTATGTGCCAAGTTTGGTCCAGCTCTGTAATTTGTGAAGGTCTCAGTGGTCTGTGGAAGTCATAGCTGAATCAGTTGAAGGTACTGCAAATCCATTGTCCACCGTTCTCCAAACATTGTTTTTGTGATTAATCACTATGCTTTAATTATGTTCCATTTGTAACAATGAAAGTACATCCTGCATATCAGATATTTACATTATGATTTATAAGAGTAGTAAAATTACAGTTTTGATTTGTGTGATTTTAATAATTGATGTAATTGTTTTTAGATGTTTTTAATGCTTTAGTTTGGATCTCCCTCCTTCTCTCCCTCCCTTCACAGGGTGGAAGGAGGAGGTAGAAGAGGGATAGTCTTATATGGTGAGTATATCCCAAACTCTATATTTTAACTGGAAAAGTTAGGGGTCGTCTTATACACCCAGTTGTCTTATACGCTGGAAAATATGGTAAATACAAATGTGGGCTTTGTGTCCAAAAGGTACCACATCCATCTGCACAAAATTTACAGGAATCGAAAAAAATTGTGCTGAGGACATACATTCTTTTGTTCTAAAATGCAGATTTCCAAGCCCTGCACCAAAGTGATTTGATATAATTTGATAGTTTTCATCTGTACATAATATTGTACTCCTGACTGATTGATATGTGTTTTAATTGCTTATATATTTAGATTGTTTGTATTTTAATGAGATGTGTTTTATTGTTTACCTGTGTGACATTAAATATTTGCCGAATTTGTAAGCCGCCTTGAGTCCCCTTCGGGGTCGAGAAAGGCAGGGTAGAAATGAAGTAAATAAATAAATAAATAAATAGCCAATGATGTGCTGCCACCTATAACACGTTTTTCCAGTTTGGAGGGATGTGGTATATTTTGGAAGCAAACTCCACATATACACATCCTTAAGGACTGTGCAGCTGACTGTCGCTTCATTTAAGCTTTGATTATTTATTCCTACTGTCTATTCAAAACAAGTAGTTCAGATTTCACCTCTTATCTCATAAAACAGGGATTTTAATGGGAGTGTATCTACACGATAGTATTAATGAAGTTTAACACTACTTTAACTACAATGGCCCGTCACTAAACCGCATACCCCATGATTACCTCACATCGAGCCATGACAGTTAAAGTTTATGTCAAACTGCATTCAGTTTACGGTGTAGATGAAGCCTTGGTCAATACTCCTTGGGAAGTTCAAGTAAACAATGTTAACCAGATCACTGTAGATACTTAGATTGCTAACTACTCTTACAACTCAGAGAGAGTCTACATTTTTTATGGTACAATATACAATAAGAGCAATGGACGTTGAAAAATACATACCATAAGCTCATGAAATGGGTATCCGGAAGTTTCATACTCAAGACCAACTGTGTTGATGGCGTATTTTACATACCGTTCAGGTGTAGGTCTAAAAAGGTTTGGTCTAGGAGAATACATCATTTTTGTAGCCACCATTTCTGGCACAAGACTCTGAAAATGTAAAAAACTTATTAAAACAGAAATATTGGGATAAATACTAAACAAAACATTTCTATACAGTGGCCTTTCCCCATTAAAAAATTTAAATTTCCATCTTTTAAAACATATATTACTGTAGATATGTACATATATGTTGACTTCATGCATAAATTGAAGGCAGGATTAGGATTAATATGCTCCATGGATAAGTTGTCAGACAATGCTGGTCATTTCCCTGCCCAAGCATCCAAAAATGAAGAAAGTAGAGGGAATTGGTACTTCTTTTAAATTCTCCCATGATGACTTAAGCTCCTGCCATTTGTGGTGAAGGTTAAATATGAGTGTCCTCATTCTGTTTTGTATTTAAAATAAAACTTGTAACCTTACTTTCCAAATATCTCTTGTGTACGTATACACACACAACCTCCTCATACCACCCCCTCCAAATGGAAACCCCAATATAATCTTTAATATTCTCAAATATAAGCACAAATATGTTTGAACCATAAGACATCATGCACAAAGTCCTCCATAGACCTTGCAATTAAAAACAAGTAAAGAAATTAATTAAAGGGTCTTTCAAACAAGTTTGAACAAAATATTGAACAGTGAAAGAATATCTTTTACGCCTGGAGGACATTCCATGAAAAAGCTATGAGGAGAGTAAATACCCTATTTATAGTGGCTGCCGCCAAACTTCATTTGGGAAAGGTACCAAGTGTACAAGACTCTTTTTGGAGTTATTACAATCTATGTTGCCAAGTTAAAAACATCACCACAGTAAATGGTTCCAACAGATAAAGACAATTCTACCCACCTGCACAATGATACCCATCTCTTTGTATTCTACATTGGCAGGTCTACCCACTCAATTCTAACTATGAAATTGAAATTTATATTTTATTAGTACTGGTGTGTTAATTTTAGTTCTATGTATTTGATAACCTTGTGTTTTATATGTGTTTTAACTATATTGTACCTCACCTTGAACCACGAGGAGAGACTGTAACAAATACAATTATGATGACGGTGATGATGATTATTAGAGTTTCCATGAAAAGGCCATGAGAAATTAAAACACCCTGTTTGTGGTGGCTGTCCCCAAACTTAATTTGAGAATGATACCAGGAGTAAGCTGCTATATTTGACGTTACTGCAATCTATGTTGCCCAGTTAATGATACCACAATACATGATTTCAACACAAAACAGTTATACTCACCTGCACAATGATACCTTTGTCTCTGTATTCTGCATGGAGACAATGACTAAAGTAATTTACAAAAGCCTAAAGATATACAAAAGGAGAAAGATGTTATGAATTCAGTATATACAGAACCATCCATACAGTAATGTTTATTGATTAAAAAAAATCCCACATACTACACAGGTAAGCCTTTGGAGAGGTTAAGTTCTCTTCCAAAATAAAATGACAAATGTGTACTGGAATGTCATCATTGCCAGTCAAGATGTTCTTCTATGAAATTTTCTATAACTTCCAGTATGGTATTATTTCCTGTTTGTTAAAATCATGGTATGCCAAACACATTCATAATTTAATGTGTCCCCATTTATATCAGCCTGAAATAGAAAAGTTGCAGGGTGGGAGGATTTCTAGGAAATATCATAGCTCAAAATTGCATGGACTAGAATTCCTTAGGCATGTAATCCTTAACTTCAGAAAACTTCAATGTTAAGAGACTATAGCCTTGTTGACACATAATGGCAAATTGCACGATACATATCTGGGAATGAGCCACAGTTCCACCTCACTTTCTGTCCCTGTGATCACTGAATTTTAAAAAAGTTGGCTTGTTGTGGAAATTAGGATTGATGATAAAGCTTCAATGGAGACACCTTTTCCCCATGACAACTCTTTCAAGAGTGAATCTCCCTTCCGAGGAGATTTCTCTCACTTCCTGTTGTTTCACCCCTGTTCTTCAGTATGAGTCGTTTGTAAATTGGGTGCTTGTACTTGATTAATGTAAAACAAGGTGTGGGAAAAATTTCATTATATGCATACTAAACTGAGACAGCATTTATTATTTCTAATGTAGTCAAACCACTCCAGAACCTTTCTTCTTGATGGGAGTCATACAAGTGATAAGGTAAAATAATACTCTAAGATGAACCCTTCTTCACTAGAGAAGCCTATGCTCCATGGTACTTTTCCTCCCACATATAAAACACTATCTTACTTTTAACGAAAGTCTGTAAAAATGACAAGGAATGCATTTCAGAAATGACTTTGTTTCACCTTTTGATTAGATGTAAAATTTAAACAGATTAAATATTAAAAAGTTGTATGTCTACCTTGCTTGCTGTATAAAGAGCTAAATATGGGCATCGATTAATTGCAACACTAGATGACATATTCACTATGACTCCCTTAGACCTAAAAAAAAAGAATTTTAAAACATTAGAAAACCAACCAGCAGAAACAGCAGAAATCAAACTTACTACAGAACTGAGTTTGGCTCAGAAAAAAAATCATTATACACAATACAGGCAGAAAAGTAACCAAAGTAGAGGCTTTCTGTCTTTCCTGGCTAATGTGCTCCACATCCCTGGAAAACAACCCTTTAAACTGGTATTCCATGTAATGATTAAGTTAAGGATTTTGGAGGCTCACCCTCAAATAACTATCAGGAACTACAATACCATAATACTTATACACAGACTCTTTCTTCCAACTGTCATATGATTATATACTTTACTCTGTGTCAATTTTGCTTTCACTGTTTCTTAGCAATGGCTTTAAGAAGGTTATTTCCAGGAATATCTCAGGAATTGTAGTCCCCGTCCCCCCACCCCGCCCCGCCCCGCTTGCACAGAATAGCAGGTTGTTAGATTCAATAATGAGTCAGACTGGCTTTTTAACTCAATTTTTTAAAAAATCACATCAGTGAAAAAGAAAGAAAACAAAAAGGGAATCAAGTGGCAAAAAGTTTCCACCACTGAACCCAAACTATAACCCCACAAAACATGGATAGCAGACTGAACAATCATAGTAATGTGTGTGTGTTTTTCTAAGAAATGATTCTCTCCTATAAATGATGACAGTGTGACTCACCTTTTCACCATTCCAGGTAGCACCAAATGTGTCATCTGGAAAGGAAAAAACCACCCTGGTGATTGAATGGTAAGCAGACAGCAAACTCAGGGAATCTCTCTCTGTTCAAGTCAAAATTTGAATTTTAAATTCAAAATACTTTTTTAAAAATGCCCTTATTTGTAGAGGAAGCATACTTTTTTCTAGCTAACATTTCTTAACAAAACAGATGTATCGAATCAGACTGCTACATCAGCACTTGTAATTTAGCCATCACCACTAAGAGAAGCAACAGTGTACAGGACTGCAGGACAAATCAACACAGAATTGCAGAGTTGTACCTGCTGCACCAGCTGTACCTGTTCCAGGTATATATCTACCTCACAGAATTAATGCAGTTTGACTCCACTTTAAACATCATGACTCAATGTTATGAAATCATGGGAGTTGTAGCTACAATTCTCAGGATTCCATAGCTTTGAGCCATGGTTCTTAAAGTGAGCAAACTGCACCAATTATATGGTGCAGATGCATCCAACGAGACACCTGATTTGGCTTCAGTGATGTGTACCACCTTTGAAGAAAGTTCATAATTTGAGTTAAGCCAAGAAACTGCCGCAAATCCAGTAACTGGTGATGCCTAAAGAAAATACACCACTCTTTTCTTACAAAATGTGTGCTGTCCTAACTTTATTTTTTAGCCTTTAATGCATGAGTTTGAAACAGTTTAATTGTATACAATTATGCAATTAAAGTAACTTCTTGTGCGAAGAAGAGAAGGATAAGAGGAGACATGATAGCCATGTATTAATATGTGAGAGGAAATCATAGGGAGGAGGGAGCGAGCTTGTTTTCTTCTGCCCTGGAGACTAGGACATGGAACAGTGGCTTCAAACTACAAGAAAGGAGATTCCATCTGAACATTAGGAAGAACTTCCTGACTGTGAGGGCCGTTCAGCAGTGGAACTCTCTGCCCCGGAGTGTGGTGGAGGCTCCTTCTTTGGAAGCTTTTAAACAGAGGCTGGATGGCCATCTGTCAGGGGTGATTTGAATGCAATTTTTCTGCTTCTTGGCAGGGGTTGGACTGGATGGCCCATGAGGTCTCTTCCAACTCTGATTCTATGATTCTATGATTTTATCTGTATGTATTTCTATTTCAATTTCTCATTTTTAATTTGCAATCTATCCGTATGTATGAGCTGTGTGTGTAAGAGTTATAATGTTTTATTTACCTGACTGCGCCCAGTTGAGGGCAGACCAATTTAATAGGTCCTCCACAGGTGTAGATTGTAACTGTGACAGTAGCCCAGACCTGTCCATGACAATATGGAGGTATTAGTCACCTCCACCCACAGATCCACATGGTCTGAGTTGAAAACCACAGAGCATGGAATAGCTTGGAGATTTAGACAGGGATACATTCTTGTAGCTTCTAAAACAGGAGTCCTCAAACTAAGGCCCAAGGGCTGGATACGCCCCTCCAAGGTCTTTTACCCGGCCCTCGCTCAGGGTCAACCTAAGTCTGAAACAACTTGAAAGCACACAACAACAACAACAACAATCCTATCTCAGCAGCCAAAAGCAGGCCAACCTTCCTATTGAAATACTAATAAGTTTATATTTGCTAAAATTGTTCTTCATTTTAATTATTGTATTGTTTTAAGTGTTTTTGCACTACAAATATGATATGTGCAGTGTGTATAGGAATTCATTCTTTTTTTTCAAATGATAATCCGGCACTCCAACAGTTTGAGGGACTACGACCTGGCCCTCTGTTTAAAAAGTTGGAAGGCCCCTGTTCTAAAAGCTTTTTCTTGTTCCAGTTCCAAAAAGACAATGGTGCTGTCATTACCCATCACTCAACATATATTTATTAAGAAAGGCCTGGAAAGCTGATGCTGTATGCCTGGGATTCTCCACCCCAAATTTGATAGGGACCAGTGGCATATCCCTGCCATATGATGATCATATTTAGTTTCCTGGAAACCACTGCAGAATAGCAGCTGATGGCTCATGGAAGGAGGGCATCTCTTTGCAGAGCCTCACTTTTGATGGTAGAAATGTGAACACCTTCAACAGAATCCTACTCATTCTTCTCTGGAAAGAGCAATATTGCAGAGCACAGCTGTCAGAGAATATGGATTTGCCTAATAACTCTACAGGAATGCACAAGTAACTCATAGCTAAAGCCCTTGTTTGTAGTTACAATTATAAAAAGAAAATTACACTGTGGATCAGTCGTTGCCAATACTGCTGAATTACAGCTCCCAGAATTCCTCACAATTATCTATGGTAACTGATCTATCTACAACAATGAATGTTACTTTGTATCAGTAAAAACATTAACCCTACTGTATCATCTAAAATTATCCCATAAATGGTACTTACCTTGCACACAGATAGGCAATTAATGTTTATTAGGTTGTCAATTAGCTGCAAGAGAAAGATCATATGAAGTTTAAGAGGATGCTGAAAGTTTTTGATATAATCTAAAAATGAATCATGCTAAATTGAATATCAGAGTAGATGGTGTCATGTTTCATTTTGAAATTTAACCATTTGGGAAGCGTTGTCCATTACCGAATAAGCTACACTAAGCTTCCAACAGAGTAGATATCAAAAGAATTTTGTGTGTGTGTGAGAAACTGCAAGTCACTTCTGATGTGAGATAATTTGCTGTCTGCAGGGACGTTGCCCAGGAGGTAGCCGGATGTTTAATGTGTATCATCCTTCTGAGAGGCTTCCCTTGTGTCCCCGCATGGAGAGCTGGAACTGATAGAGGGGGCTCAACCCACTCTCCCCGGATTCGAACCTGTCAGTCGTCAGTCATGCTGACACAAAGCCCATTGCACTGCAGGGGGCTCCTATCAAAACATGAATTCGTACAGAGACAGGCAGAATAAATACCTCACCTGTGATCAATTTTTAATGCCATAAGAGATTTTGAGAAGTTAAATATGTTATTTATTTATTTCGAAACAGCTTCTATATATTTCAGAAAGAGCAAGGGAGAAAAGGTGCCATCACTAGTTACCCTATCTGCTTGAGATTTTCTAATTGCAGGAGTTATGGTGGAATCCCAATAACTGTGACTATGGGATAGGAGTCTGACATGATAATAGTGGCTGGTCATCTATAGAAAGGGAAGTATATGATTGATGCAGAGTTCCCCCAATTCCATGTTATAGCTTGCTTAGCTACTGTGCTTTCTGTCTGGCCTAATAGTGCTTATACCACCAGGTCACACCATAATAAGATTGATACCAATATGCTCAAATCAGATGTGAAAAGGTTCACCTGACATATATTATTGAGACACTGGGGTGCAATTCATGTGGTCATTTAAAATTTCCAAACTGGCCAAGGACCAAATGGGGAAGACAAAGTTTGCCTATTTCAAGTGTCAACTGGACAGCATCCTCAGATATTCAATATACTTTACTAGAGACTGTGTATTATTCAACTCTAAAGAACGGCAGAAAAACCAAGATATAAGACTGTACAGTAGAGATGTGAGAGATAACAGAAATTGACAACTTAATGATGCTGTTAAGGGATAAGTCACTGGATACACTCTCAGAAGAATGAAAACCTTTTTACCAATATATATCTAAGGGAAAGGGGAAAACCTTAGGTATAGATTTGGAAATAGACACTGTTGAGATATTTATTTGTTAATGTCAAAATAAGCAGGGGATGAAAAAATACTAAATTACAGAGAAACCAAAAAAGGGAAGCAAGAAATCCACATTTAAAATCAATTTATGTATATATATGTTTGTAGTTTAGACTTACATATCATTAGAATAGAGACATATGTTGTATAGCTTGATATACAATTGTTGTTAGGTATGCCCGTATTTGTGTATGCGTAAGTATCGCATACTTAAGGAGCCCCCAGTGGCACAGCAGGTTAAATGGCTGAGCTGCTGAATTTGCTGACCAAAAGGTCAACAGTTCGAATCCGAGGAGGAGAGTGGGCTCCCAGTTAGCCGCAGCTTCTGCCAAACTAGCAGTTCGAAAACATGCAAATGTGAGTAGATCAATAAGTACCACTTCGACGGGAAGGTAACTGTGCTCCATGCAGTCATGCTGGTCGCATGACCTTGGAGGCATCTACGGACAATGCCGGCTCTTCGGCTTAGAAATGGAGATGAGCAAAAAAAACCCAGAGTTGGACACGACTATACTTAATGTTGAGAGGAAACCATTATCTTTTTAAGTATTGCATATTTACTTGTGTCTTTTTCTATTAAAATTTAATTTAAAATATTGGGGGGAGAATAACTTTATATGGAACAGAGTGATATTCAAAGCTGGAGAATTTATGTATTCCAAGGTCAGCACAGTAGTCCTAAGTCTTGATTCTTTACACTGTTGTAAAAATATACTTGAACATAACAAATATAGAAGGGAAAATACTTACTTTATCTAATTCAGGAACATCAAGGAAGCACTCGGGATACGAATATGCAATGCCGACATTGTTAACTGAAACAAATGTTTTATTTGAATATGATTACTGAAGTGTGACATTCCAAAATTCAATGTGCATAACACTATCTTCCCTTTTCCCCCTCAGCTTTATGCTCTTTAAGTCTTATATTGTTAACTCCTATGGGCGGTTAACTTTTTGACACTTGAGTTACTTAGCATTTTAATTAGCACTTAGCACTTCTAAACTGGAAAGGAAAGGTAGCACAATTATTTCTTGATATAACAAACATAGCTGATGATATTGAGCAGATGAAACTACAACTATCATTTTAAGAGGCCATATTCAAATGATTTTGGAAACTATGTTTTAGTTTAGTAAGCTTTAGTAAGTATGAATAAGCAGTCATCTTCTGTGGACCTCATAATCCTTTCAACATTTAAGTGTATGGCATTAAAACACCAACTCCGAATAGATTCTGATTTCAATGTTTGATATGTTTTCTTGAAATGTATATGTTGATGGCTTCTCGCTGCTCTACTTTCAATTTGTGACCGATTTATCCCTTTTAAATAAAGTTTTTTTTGTATCAATGCAATATATAATATCACATATAGAAGGGGCATGTGCATGTAATTCATAGCTATTTATTTTGAGGGGCAAAAACAACAGGATCCAATATTTGCTTCCATCCATTTTAAAGGGAAAACTGGAAATTTGTGAGTACATGCTTTTAATATACATCGCAAATACAGCATGAGTATTTTTTTTTCTCATGCTGAAAATGAATATCTTTGTTCACTACATTTACAATGTTAAGTTGTATTCCAACAATCAAAAATAAGTACAACTGAAATTTAATGTCTGAATTCAGAAATACGATTTGCTTACTTAACACAACACATCGTCTTGGAATCAAGGAATTGGATTTTAATTTGTACTACTATGGAATTACTGTGTATGCCTGCCAAAATTGAGTCATAGTACACTTTCTTTAATTTGGTTTCACTTCTGGATAATGTTTTTACTTTCTTCTCCAAACATGTCTGTTTTATCACTGCAACATCAGTAGAACTGAGGTTGTGCACAAAATAGCTAATAAATTGTATTTCATTTCTGCCTGGCTTAAAGATCACCCAGCAATGATTTAAGCAGTTTCCCTAGTTTGAATCTTAAATTCCAAGCCCTCCATCACAAACAAAGGGTATTTATTAAGTAGCTTATTTATTTATATTTATTTACTTTATTTATATACCGCTTTTCTCAGCCCTCAGGCGACTCAATTGACTGATGTCAATTCCACTCCACTGCAGTAACAGTATTTCGCACATGTTATTAACTACAACAATATATGACTTCAATTAAACAAATAAGAGAAAACAAGGGAATGTGATGAAACTGACTGATTACAGATAATACAAGCAAGTAAGACTCTCCTTCTAGGAGGGAGCTTGTAAGAGGGCAGGAATAGGCAATTAAGTGATCAAGGAAACAGAAGTATAAGTGAGTCTATTTATATTTTTATACCATATTCCAATTGATTGATTTCTCTAATATATTTGCTTTCCTTCAACACTATTACTTTTGATTTCAATGCATCATGTTAGTTATGACATACCCACTTGAGAAGACTCAGGTTACCCATTTTCCACATCACAGTGTAAAAACGCTAGGCTCCCAAAGGGAGAAACCCATCGATATACTCAAAGGGGGCAATACTAAACACACATTGTGAACACACTGAAATTCTTCTTCGATGTTATACAGCTCTCCCTCCTTCTTATTGTGCATTCTAGAGGTAGCAAGATACAACACATTGCTTTAACTGTATCTGAAGACATCTATTTAATATGACTCTGAATAAATGATACCAGACAATGGAAAGGAAATTCTCTCCTTTTATGACAAAAGTCCTCCAATAAGGTTTAACAGAAGAATTTTACCTACTAGATATGGTACATTATGTAAGACCAGAAAGAAAGAAAAATCCCTGAAGGGTAAACTAAATAGAGAAAAATATATATATCATATATATAAAAATATATATCAACCATGTTTTATCAATTATACAAGCAGTTAAGGGGCAAAGAAACAAAGATGGAAGACGATGTTTACTAGTCTGTGTTGAAGTACAATTCCATGAATCAGAAACTACTTAGAGGCATGGAAGATAAAAGTTGAATAACAGTGATAGAATAAATATAGAGGAAATTATAATTATTTTATAATTACTTTTGAATTTCTGTTTGCATGCCTTCCAGCGGTTTCCAGCTCATGGCAATCCTAGGGTGGTGATAGGTTCTATCACAGGTTGTTGTGGGTTAGATTTCTTTAGAATAGGTTTGGTAGTGCCTTGCTCTAAGTCGAAAATGTATCCCCAAAGTGACCTGTGGGTTTCCATCGTTGAAGAGGGATTGGCACCTGGAGTCCCACTCCAGCCCTGAAATACTACACCTCTTATTTTATTATTTTTATTTCACAGTTTTGTATACCGAGCTTCTCAACCTCGTTGAGGGACTCAGCCCGGTTTACAGCCATAAAAACATATACATTCATTAAAATATCATATATCACAAATTACAAAACTACTTTAAAAACACTAAATATAAAACTACAGTGGTCAGTCGTCCTAATAAGATGGATCTATATCCACTTCCATCCAGAGTCCTATGGTGTTGTCTCATTCCTCGAAGGCCTGACTCCACAGCCACGTCTTCATCCGTTTCCTAAATGTTAGGATGGATGGGGTGGTTCTGGCCTCCAGAGGGAGAGAGTTCCAGAGTTGTGGGGCCACCACCGAGAAGGCCCTGTCCCTCGTCCCCACCAGCCGCGCTTGCGAGGCTGGTAGGACTGAGAGCAGGACCTATCCAGATGATCTTAGTAATCTTGATGGTTCGTAGGGGAAAATACATTCGGAGAGGTAAACAGGGCCGGAGTCGTTTAGGGCTTTATAGGTCAACACCAGCACTTTGAATTGTGCTCGGAAGCTAATTGGCAGCCAGTGGAGCTGGCGTAACAGCGGAGTGGTGTGCTCCCTGTATCCAGCCTCCATTAGTAATCTGGCTGCCGCGCGTTCGACTTGCTGCAGCTTCCGGGCAGTCTTCAAAGGCAAATCTGGCTTTCTTAAACTTTCTACTGCTTTCTTCCTTTGACCATTGGCTGTCTTAAAATTATCAAGCAAACTACACCAAAGACATCATAATATATTTCTAATCCACAAAAGGCACAAGATCCTTTTTGCATAATAAGCTGCGCTTAATAACAGTACAATGTTTCCACTTCTGAATTTTCTGTTAGGCTGCAAGATTTTGAACATCATTCCAAAAACAGGTGATGCTACTAAAATGCGTAATTCTATCTACTCTTTGGGGAAATAATTTTTCAGAACAAAATTGTAAGGATTCGAAAATAAAAATATACACACCTAAGACACCAATCTCAAGGCCTTCCAGGCCTGCTTCTATATCACTGTAAATAGTTTCTCGGTCTTTAAAGTCAGCAGCAATAGTTTTTGTTTCTACGTTGAATTTCACCCCTGTAATGAAGTACAACCACAAAGGATAAGTAAACATGCAGTACTGTATCTTGATAATATTTCAATCAAAAAAGAAACAAGAAAAACAACATATGGAAATATGGCAGCAAAATAAAGAAAATAATGCTCCTATAGTATATACAACGGTGCTCCATGTAGTCATGCCAGCCAGATTTCCTTGGAGGCGTCTAAGGACAACATCCACTCTTCAGTTTAGATATGGAGATGAGCACCACCACCCAGTGTCATAAATGACTAGACTTAATGTCAAGGGGCTACTTTTACCTTTATAATATATGCCTTTTATTATATAAAATAATTTAGAAATGTTACATTTTCCTATTTTACAGTAAACAGGAAAGTGCTCACTACAACTACTTTACTTAGCACTCCACACTAAACTAAAAATATAAAGAACCAAATAGGCTAAACACACATTATCACACAGCAGACATTTGAAATTCCGCTTAGGAAGCCATTTGTCATTAAGACTAGCTCTAAACGACCAAACTCTCAGATTATTTAGTTTTAACCTCTCAGATTCTTTAGTTTTTCATCCAAACCAGTCCAGAGAGCCACATAAATTTGCGGCCTTATGCACAGATGAGACTGTACCTCACAGGCCTTGCTAAACCGTTCACAGCTTTAGACATAACACTTGTGAAGCATCACAGAATGGGAAGGATAACTTCTCATTTTGCAGATTGATTATGGCCAACAATAAGGCATTTGTCAAACAATTTAAGCAGGGGAGGCAATTCAACAGATGCAAACAACATTGATAGAAAGCAAACAATTCAACTGTACATTCACCTACAAGTGGGGCCAGACGCACCGTCACAGAAAGATTTTATGTTATTGTATATGATCATGTATAGACAGATGGAAAAATATCAACGTGCTAGAAGAAGCAAAGGCCACCAGGATTGAAGCAATGCTCCTATGTCATCAACTCCACTGGACTGACCACATTGTCCAAATGCATGATCACCATCTCCCAAAGCAGTTACTATGCTCTCAACTCAAGAATGGAAAATGGAATATTGGTGGACAGGAAAAGAGATTTAAAGTTAGGCTTAAAGCTAACCTTAAAAACTGTGCATAGACACTGAGAACTGGGAAGCCCTGGCCCTTGAACACTCTAACTGGAGGTCAACTGTGGCCAGCAGTGCTGCGGAATTCGAAGAGGCACAAATGGAGGGTGAAAGGGAGAAACGTGCCAAGAGGAAGGTGTGTCAAGCCAATCCTGACCGGACTGCCTGGAAACCAGTGCTCTCACTGTGGAAGAACATGCAGACCAAGAATAGGGCTCCACACTCACCTATGTATTCACTGCCAAGACACTATACTTTGAAGGCCATCATACTCGGAAGTAAATAAGTGTATAAGACTAGATATTTTAGTAAAAACGTTGGCTCCCCAAAAAACACAGTTGACTTAGCAACTAGTCTATACCTTAACTCTTTTTTTTAAAAAGGAAGCATTCCTTTATCTGAGTGGAGAGGCAAAAGAACCTAAAAAGAAGCAGCAACTCTCTGCTGCTTTTGGCCTTTTTAAAGATCTAGGATGGAAAATGGAGCCATGAGCTCCTCAAAGGCACACTGACAGAGTAAAGGGCACTAGATTCTCTCAGAGGGACGTATCTAGAAAATAAAGAAACTCACAAAACTACAATCTGCACAAGCCAACCAAGATGCACACCAGGTTATTTATTTGATTGTAATTCATTTTTCCCCATAAGGGAAGGTAATTCAGCATACAGTGTAGACAGTATGTATTCAGGATTGAAATCAAACTACAGCAACAAATTTTAAAAATAGTTTCAATACAAACTAGGAGTCTGGCTATGGAAAGGATGAAAATCCCTACAGTGCATATGCAGTTACTAGAGACAGTCATTGCAATTACACATAATTGCATTATTTTTAGAAGCCTTAAAGGCACATATAACTGAAAGTCAAACATGCCCATGTTTACTTATCCTTCAAACCCAGTTAGCGGCATAATTATATATAACACTGGGAGAAAAACTTAAAAGAAGCTAGGGGAGATAGCTGTTATTCATTGTTCTTCAACTAGATGATGAATAAGAAGCTCTGCAGACTCATATAATCTGAGGCTGTGATTTGGTTATTACCACTACAAAGAGCATTCGTTTGGAATGCTCCATTCATATTTAAATTCTGAATGGTGAAAACTCAACCCTCCAGATCAGGCATGGGCAAACTTCAGGCCTCCAGGCGTATGACTGTTAGGAAATGTGGGAGTTGAAGTCCAAAACACCTGGAGGGTTGAGGTTTCCTCATGCGTACTCTAGATATGTTAGATTTATCCCATTTGGGGGGGGGGGGGGGGCTCATCATCTAAGCATGGTGTTTAGTCCTGTAGTGTTGCAAACCACCATGTTCCATTTTTTATAACTTACCACGTCTGAATTTTGTGGTTTACCCATTACTATACATTTTCATCCTTATCTCACAAGTAAATGGATTCCCCACCCTCTCCCCTTAAAAAAAAGTGTCTACCTTCGACACTGCAAAAAATCAAACTCTAACATTAAAGGCAAAGAAAACTAGCAATCTCCTAAAATAGCTATATTGCTTATGTTAATTGTTTTTAATTACCAAAAAGGATCAGGTGTCTGCATTATGGCAGAATACCGGGGACTCTGGCGGCTTCCATTGCACTTGTTTGTTTCGGTGTTTTGAAATGGACTACCATGATTTTGAGCTCCTGAGACGCTCTCAGACAATCTTGTCCCCACTCCCTTTTTTATGACTGTTTCTGACGTTTGACTGATGAGGCGTGACAGGCGCAGACAGGAAGTTCCCTTGCATCATGGGATGGGCTCAGTCACTTTTCATAACAACAATGGATTAGAATGGGGAGTCATGAGATAAAGCCCTATAACTTCCTTATCATTGGCCATGCTGATTGGGTCTTGTGATCGCTGCTATTCAAAACATCTTAACTATTTGAATCTTCCAACACATGGTTTAAAGCATTAAATGAATTTACTCTTACTTCTGCATATACTCATGAAAAAAGTACTCACTTATTTCACAGGCAACCCGATCGAGTTTTTCCTGAGATCTGCTGATAAGAACCACCTTCATTCCGCGCTTAGCTAACTGAAAAGAGAAATGTTGAGAGATTCAAGACAATCAGCTACAACACTATGGCAGCATTTTATTTATTTAATTATATAGAGCAGGCCTGCACAATATATGGCCTGTGGGCTGGATGTGGCCTGCAAAAGACTTCCCTGTGGCCTGTGGATGGGACAGGGCTTCTCCTTCGCTAGTTGGCCCTTTCACTGCCTGCCTTTCTGATCGGTCAGGCAGGGAGGAGTGGTCCACGGAATTTTTTTTTCATATTGGCCCTTTATAAGGGCCAAGTTGTGCAAGCCTGATATAGAGCATGGGGAATGAGCCTTTCTCCTGCTCGCTCAGAAGAGCAAGAAAAGTGTGGCAAACCACAGTTGTCTCAGCCACTAACAAACAATGAGTACACATCTGGCTACATCCTGCTGAATCTTTGTGATGAATGGAATGGGGAGGGGGGGGGATGTGCAGACTAGGAAGCCATTCCAGTTGTAGAGGAATGCATCCCCACAGAATCTGCAACATTGTCATTGTGACTTCTTCAGTAGTCACTGATTGTTGAAGGGGGTTGTAAACAGTTCCACTGACAATGTGCCCTAGTGTCAAAACACCAGGCGTAGGAAGTCTGGGTGGAGTTGCTATTTGTGGCATGAACTGGACATCAAACTAAGAGCATCAGCCAATGTGTTGTTATCCTCAGAGAGGTAAACCACCGCCGGCATCATCTTGGCAACTGATGCGCTAATTCCAGATGTTCATAATGAGATAGAAGAGGTTAGTTGATTGTATGCCATTCTGTTTGCTCACGTAGTCAAACCATGCTGTGCATATGTTCGAGGAAGCATTTGGTTTGAACAGGGAAGAGACCAGCTTCATCAAAGGGCACATCCTTAATTACTGAACAAGCCAAGAAGGATAATCCACATATAGCACATAGAGAGTGGATGGAGTCACCACCAAAATGTTACCAAAAAACTCAAGAGTCCTGAATTGTGCTCTGCATGTGTAAATAACACATTTGTGTGATTCACAGAGACAATAAAGTTAACAAAATGATACCTTACCTCTTCTGCATAGGCCTTTCCAATTCCATCAGTAGCTCCAGTCACAACTATAGAAAGCAAAGGAGGAAAGAAAAGAGGAGTTACAGTGTAGCAAGATTTTATACTGTGTTATCCAGGTTTTATAAGTTTTTAGCACAATGACTTGACTTTCTAAAAGTTGTTTTCTAGAGGGTGTGATTGTGTGTGGAGGGGAGAATATGGCTCCTCCCCATGACTTCTATTGATTGTGATCCACTTTACCCTATTAAACATTCAATTAATAAACAGAACCTTAAAAGTACACTATACTAATTTTATGCACAATAAACCTCGCAGAATTTTCAATGACTAACTATAGCTGACATGAAACATTTACACCAACTATCAAGCCAAGAAGCAACTGATTTTGGGTGATCCTAAACCTATCATGGGTTTAATAGTATTTGTTTCAAAAGGGATTTGCCATTGCTTTCCTCTGGTTCTAAGAGAGTGTGACTTGTACAAGGTTACCCAGGGAATTTCTGTGTTGAATTCAAATTCAAACTCTGGTCTCCTGGAGTTTTAGTGTAACATTCAACCATTATATCCAAGTGATTCTCTTCCAGGATTAAAGTGACACAAACTCCTTCATATGAAAATGCAACTTTCTTCTGGTTTGAATTGGGATATATTTAAGATTACTGTGAACAAATTAATGTACATCAGACTTACAAATGACTCATAGTTAAGAACGGGGGTGAAACAACAGGAAGTGAGAGAAACCAATCCCTAAGAAGGGAAATTCACTCCTGAAAGAGTTATCATGGGGAAAAGGTGTGTCTATTGAAGTTTTATCCCTAATTCTTTTTTCCACAACTAGCCAACATTTTCCAAATCCAATTATCACAGGGACAGAAAGTGAGGTGAAATCTTCTGAACAGGGGCACAGATAGCAAAACAAACATGACAGCAGTGTTAATCCTTCTCTGTTCTATCCAAAGCTTTAAAATATACATTTTTGACTGGAGTTACTTAGAAATGTACCTGTTCCAATTTACAAGCAAATTTGACTTAAGAACACCTACAGAATCTACCTTCTTCCTAATTTGGGGATTTCCTGTACTTTATTTAGTTGGGTGTTACTCAGCTGTGAGTCACTACTCTAACATGAAGTTCATTAAGTATCACAGGAGGACACTTAAAAGCACAAGTTGAATCCAATATGAGTATTACCAAAGAGAAGCACACTGAAATCAACACAACTTGAGGTAGCAGTGACTAGTTAAATCCCTTCCACTTCAATGTAGTTGTTCTAATTAGGATGCACACTGAATGTAGGCCACTGAAAAACAGAAGGAAACACTGCCCACAAATGTCAGAAACTTGCACTATGATTGACTCTCAATATGTGAAAGAGGGATGGAAAGTCTTACTAACTAAAGGGAGTTTTATTTAGGGACCTCTTAGCTCTGAAACATTTCATTCTGTGATGGAAACAGACTGGAGGAATCTATGAACAAAGCTGTGATATCTCAGAACTAGAGCATCCAAACCATCAAGACACAACAGTCTCTCTGTCTCTTATGATTACACACACATCATGCTAATATATAAAGACTACAATGAGTCTATCAGTTATTAATTAATGCTAAGAAAAACATATCTTGTAATACTGACATTTCTCTTTGCATTCCATTATACATTTCTCGGATATATTTGGATACCTGAAAGTCTAATATTCTTAAACTGATGATTAAATATCTGTTGACATTATGACTGTGACATTAGGCATAATTTTTGTACTAATATTAATAAGGCATAATGGGATGCAGAGATATTTGTTTCTCCATTCCATTACGCATTGCTTGGTATATTCCGATATCTGAAAGTCTAACAACCTTAAATGGTTGATGAAATATCTGTTGACATTATGACTGCAACACCCATCCTAATATTTGGGCTAAAGCTAATAATGCATTACTTCAATATGCATTACTTGATCTTCACACATATGTAAAAGTCTAACAATCTGACTAAATAAATGCCAACCATCTAGCTACAGCCTCCAGCCTAATTAGGGGATTAAAGGAGAAGTCCAATGATTTTATATCCGATCAAAAGTTCTAGAACACTCAAAAGCATATTACATAACTTTTTAGATATATAAAAAGTTATGTAATATGAAAAAAATAGATTGAAGTTTTCAGTTGTTTTTGATTTATGGAAACCTTAAGGTCAAGTTATCATAGGGTTTTCCTGGTAAGATTTGTTCACAGGGTGGAGGGATTGGCTTCACCTCCCTTTGTGGCTAAGAGAGAGTATGACTTGCCAAGGATCACCTAATGGATTTTCTTGGTCAAGTGTGGATTTGAATCCTGATCTCGGAATTCATAATCCAATGCTCAAAACACACCATAGAGATAAATATATTTTTATTATTTCAGTCAGTTTAAAATGGAATATCAAATCCTACTTCAGAATGGAATTTAAAGTTCTGTTGCCATTGATTAGAAACACAGCACAATAAACAAATTTTGTCTTCTTCTATCATTTTATCTATGTATTTTATTATATGTATATATTTATGTTAATATGTTTAGACTTTGTTGTACCCTGCCTTGAGCCATCGGGGTGGTAGGTGCTATGTTTGATTTTAATATTCTTTTGTTTTTAATGGATTGTTTTGTTTTGATGATCCTTTGGGGAAATGGAGGCAGGGTAAAAAACAAAGTTATTATTACAGGTAACAAATTAAAGGTATTGTTGTGTTTGTTATCATGAGACATTTACAAACTAGCAACAAGGTTAATTAAGAACAGTGCACTGAAAAGCATACACCAGAGCAACAGCAAATCTTGCTCTCAGGTACAGGTTGAGGCTGACTGATATCCCCGTTTGGATATCAGCCAGCACGCCAGCACCTTAAATCAAGAAATAGTTTTCTAAGATCTACAGAGATACTTGGAGGAACACCTCAGCATGTGAGAGTCCAAAAGTGGCAGGCTAAAAACCAGAACCTTGCGACATGGCTGATATTGAATGTGAGACTCCCTCCTCCCACCCGGGCACACAGAAGACTGGGTGACCTGGAAGACACTAAATAGACTGTGCTCTGGCACCACAAGATGCAGAGCCAACCTCAAGAAATGGGGCCACAAAGTGGCATCCACAACATGCAAGTGTGGAGAAGAGCAAACCACAGACCACCTATTACAATACAGTCTGAGCCACATGCACAATGGAGGACCTTCTTATAGCAACACCAGAGGCTGCCCAAGTGGCCAGCTACTGGTCAAAGGACATTTAGTATAATACCAAGTTTTTTAAACTTTGTGTTTTTTAAATACATTATAGCTGTACTCTCGGTTCGCTTCTTACATGATAAATAAGGTACAGATTGAGTATCTATTACTTGCAGTTCTGACATCCAAACCCAATATTGCCCACTGATACAATAAATAAGGTCCAGGTTGAGCATCTATTACCTGCAATTCTGACATCCAAACCCAATATTGCCCATAAAGGTAGCTGGGATACTGATACATCTGTCTTCTGATGGTTCAGTGTACACAAACTTCATTTCATGCACCAAATTATTAAAGTAAAATATTATATGAATATACACCACAATATGGAGCACCCGGTGGGGCAGTGGGTTAAACCGCTGAGCTTGTTGACTGAAAGGTCGCAGGTTCGAATCCGGGGAGCGGCATGAGCTTAGCCCCAGCTTCTGCCAACCTAGCAGTTCGAAAACATTCAAATGTGAATAGGTACTGCTCCGGCGGTAATGTAACGGCGCTCCATGCAGTCATGCCAGCCAGGCATGTAGCCGGGGGGGGGGGGGGGGGGGCTTGAGGGGCTTCAGCCCCCCCCCCCCCCCGAAATTCTCATGGTGGTTCGCGAAAAGGCCTTACTGGTGCATTATTTAAACTGTTATGTTTATTCATATCATGATCTGATCACCATACTCAATATATCCCATATGCATGGGGATATTTGGGTAATGATACAAAAGGTTTGCTAGGCTAGACCCTCTTTCACTCAGACTCAGCCCCCCCCCCCCCGAAACTCAGCCCCCCCAAAAAACTCAGCCCCCCCCCCCCAAATCAAAATCCTGGCTACGGGCCTGATGCCGGCCACATGATCTTGGAGACGTTTATGGACATCTCGGGCTCTTCAGCTTAGAAATGGATATGAGCACCAACCCCCAGAGTTGGACACAACTGGACTTAATGTCAGGGGAAAACCTTTATCTTACGCCAGGCATGGACAAACATGGGCCCTTTGGGTGTTTTGGACTTCAACTCCCACAATTCTTAACAGCATCAGGCCCTTTCCTTTTCCCTCTCAGTGGCCTGAGGCTGTTAGGAATTGTGGGAGTTGAAGTCCAAAACACCTGGAGGCACCAAGTTCACACTGAATTCCATGGCAGTGTTGATGGGGCCCTATATAACCTTGACTCCCCATCCGATTCCAGTAATGAGGGGGAGACCTCATTAAAGAGATCTCTCACACAAGGGAGAAAAGGGGGGCCGTGGATTATGAGGAGAAAGAGTAGCAGCTCCACAACATGCCAGGAGGAGAGGAAGACAGCGGGAGCAGAGGAAGGAGGCCCAAAGGAGGAAGGAGGCCTCAGAGCGAGCGACTCACCTGCCCAGGGGCCCAGGTGTGGGCCCACCGCCCCCGGGTTCCCTGTGAACCACATGCGGACGATGTACCGCACGTACCAGAGCAGCAGGAAGGCCCCGTATGCGACGCTTGCCACCCCCAACCAATAGAAACGGGTTGTCCATGGACCCCAGAGCGAGTCAGAGTCCTCCATGGAAGCGGAAGAAGAGGAACAACAACAATGCCGCCACGACCGTTTCAAAAGAGACAAAACTTTCTGGGCTCTCTTTATATACCAATCCCACAGACCAACCCCGCCCCCGCTTCGCAGCCATTGGCCAATCCAACCAATGCACGCTTCCCATTGGGCATCTCGACTTGAGGGGCAAGTCGACTTGAGTGCCTCCTCTCTAAACATGACGGATTAACTTGTCCCGCCCATAGTCGCCTCCACGTGCCTTTGTTTATCCCCCGAGCTTCTCTTATTGGAGAAAGCAGCCGTCGCTCAGGAAGACAGCGCTGTCTGATTGGTTGGTACCGTTTTGAGCGGGTTTCTTGGGAGAAAAAGGCGTTTCTGCTCCTCTCTGAGTCCAAAGCGGGGAGGAGGCGCTACTGCTTGAATTAGAAGAAGGGTTCGTTTGGAAATCTGTGAACAGGCTTTCGAATGAATTAGGATGACTTGATTTTTCATTTCTTCTGTTGCATCATGTAATACAATATTTTACTACTACTACTACTACTAATAATAATAATAATATATTATAATAATATATTTTATATTACTAAAAAAATTACAATATAATGATATGATACAATATAGTAATATATAATGCTGATATTGTACTATTCTAATAATATATTGTATGTATGTGTGTGTGTGTGTGTATATATATATATATATATATATCTTGTAAGCCACTCTGTGTCCCCTTTGGGATGAGTAGGGCGGCATATAAATGTCATAAATAAATAAATAATATTTTAAAATGTGTTGTCGAAGGCTTTCATGGCTGGAATCTCTCCTGACTTTTCACCCACATCTATGCCAGGCATCCTCAGAGGTTGTGAGGCCTGTTGGAAACTAGGCAAGTAGGGTTTCTATATTTGTAGAATGCCCAGGGTAAGAGAAAGAACACTTGTCTGCTTGAGGCAAGTGTGAATGTTGCAATTGGCCAGCTTGAGTAGCATGAAATAACCTTTCAGCTTCAAAGCCTGGCTGCTTCTTGCCTGGGGGATCCATTGTTTGGAGGGTATTAGCTGGCCCTGGTTGTTTCCTGTTGATTGCATGGGGTCAATACAAAGATAGTTTGCTTGATCCCGCCTCATCTGTTTTCATCCAAGTTCACTGATCTAATATTTCGCGATTGTTTGTCTAAGAATAGCTTCAAAGGCTGGATCTACTCTGCCATATAGTTTAATTCAATGCATTTAATCTGCTTTCTGAAAATGGATTGTATGACAAATCCAAGTCAAACAACATCGCAAACCTCATTGCAAACCAGCAAAGTTAGAGGCACCTGCTGGGTCTGTGAGAGCATTTTATTGACCTACACCAGACATGGGCAAACTTGGGCTCTTTGGGTGTTTTGGACTCCCAACTCCTTAAGCTTAAGCGACCGAGGGGGAAAAGGAAGGAGCCTGAGGCTGTTAGGAATGGTGGGAGTTGGAGTCCAAAAACCCAAAGGGCCCATTGCCCATGCCTCACCCACACCCTAAACGATGGCATTGGCACAGAAGAATTTCCTTTCCTATGGTTTCAGTGTTTTCTTTTGTTATAGTTCCCATGCTGCCATATAGGAACTGCCTATATGCCAACTGCCAACTGCTGCTCTGGGCCGGAGTGAAGAGAGCGGGGCCCACGGGACAGTTCCACCTTGTCTCCTGTGCTATTCTAATAATTTAATATAATATAATATAATATATATTGTATAAACATATAATATTTATAATATTATAATGTAATGCAATATAATACTAATAATAACATGATATTATAATTATATATTTATATTACATGTAATATTACTAATAATATTACAATATAATTGGTATAGTACAATATAGCAATATTTAAAACATTGTACTATGCTAATAATATAATATATTGTATGTATATATACCTTGTAAGCCGCTCTGAGTCCCCTTCGGGGTGAGAAGGGCGGCATATAAATGTCGTAAATAAATAAATAAATAAATAATGTTGTGAATTTGGAGCCTGATCTTGGAAAAAGTGGTTATTTTTTTAAAATTATTTATGGTATTTCTATCCCCCTTTCAGGAGCCCCCGGTGGTGCAGTGGGTTAAAGCACTGTGCCGGCAGGACTGAAGACCGACAGGTCGCAGGTTCGAATCCGGGGAGAGGCGGATGAGCTCCCTCTATTAGCACCAGCTCCTCGTGTGGGGACATGAGAGAAGCCTCCCACAAGGATGATAAAACATCAAAAATCATCCAGGCGTGCCCTGGGCAACGTCCTTGCAGACGGCCAATGCTCTCACAACAGGAGCGGTTGCTCCTGACACGCCAAAAAAAAAAATCCCCCTTTCTCAGCCCAAAGGCGATTTAAGGTGGCTTACAAATTGCAACAATTTGATGTCCCAACAGTCATAAAATACAATTAAAAAACATTTAGCACAACATTATAAAAGCCCATACAAAAAACCCATTAAAAACATATAATCACCAGTGTCTTCTTGTTATGCCTCCTCTAATTCAGCTTGCCCCGTCAGCACAAGGCAAGGGAGGTGCTGCCAAGCCACATTCTAAAAGAAATCCAGGCTAACCTGATCAGGATACTTATTTTGAATTACCCCGATTGCTATGATCATTTATGCTTCCTGTTTTTACTGGCCTTGAAATACAAACTAAGCCATGCATTCCTAATGAAAGTGGTGTAGGTGGGTCAGATTAACATGAGGTAGTTAAAATATGTTTTGAAACATTTCCCTTATTTCCCTTAAACTTTATTCCGTGTTATTCCTGTGTGAATGAATGAAACACTGTCCCAGGCTCAACAGGTGATCATCCTGGGCCTCTAACTATCATTTTATGAAGAGCTTACTAAAGATGTTATTTTACTTCTACAAAAATAATGTAGACATACTAGATCAGTGAACCTAGAAGAGGTGGAACCAAGTAAACCATTTTTAAATACCCCAGTACTACTGGGGAAAATGGAAGGAAAAAGGAAGAGGGGCCGACCAAGGGCAAGATGGATGGATGGCATCCTTGAAGTGACTGGCTTGACCTTGAAGGAGCTGGGGGTGGTGACGGCCAACAGGGAGCTCTGGCATGGGCTGGTTCATGAGGTCATGAAGAGTCGGAAGCGACTGAATGAATGAACAGCAAGTATCACTGGGTTTATGTGAGTTTTCTGGGCTGTATGGCCATGTTCTAGAAGAATTCCCTCCTGACATTTCGCCCATATCTATGGCAGGCATCCTTAGAGGTTGGGAGGTCTGTTGGAATCAATCAGGGCCAGCTAACACCTCCCAACCAAGGATTCCCCCCGGGCAGGAAGCAGTAAAGGTGTTATTTTGACGTGGATCTGTCATGCAATCCACTTTCAGAAAGCAGATTAACTGCATTGAACTAGATTCAGCCTTTGAAGCTATTCTTATACAAACAATTTTGAAGTACTAGATCAGTGAAATTGGATGAAAACAGCTGAGGCGGGATCTAGCAAACCGTGCTTAAAGATCTTTTTATTGACCCCATGTGTTTATAAAACAATCAACAGGAAACAATCAGGGCCAGCTAACACCTCCCAACCACGGATTCCCCAGGCAGGAAGCAGCCAGGCTTTGAAGCTGCAAGGCTATTCAGTGCTAATCAAGCCGGTCAACTGCAACATTTACACTTGCCTCAAGCAGACAAGCGTTCTTAGAATCATAGAATCATAGAATCAAAGAGTTGGAAGAGACCTCATGGGCCATCCAGTCCAACCCCCTGCCAAGAAGCAGGAATATTGCATTCAAACACCCCTGACAGATGGCCATCCAGCCTCTGTTTAAAAGCTTCCAAAGAAGGAGCCTCCACCACACTCCGGGGCAGAGTTCCACTGCTGAACGGCTCTCACAGTTAGGAAGTTCTTCCTCATGTTCAGATGGAATCTCCTCTCTTGTAGTTTGAAGCCATTGTTCCGCGTCCTAGTCTCCAGGAAGCAGAAAACAAGCTTGCTCCCTCATCCCTGTGGCTTCCTCTCACATATTTATACATGGCTATCATATCTCCTCTCAGCCTTCTCTTCTTCAGGCTAAACATGCCCAGTTCCCTAAGCCGCTCCTCATAGGGCTTGTTCTCCAGACCCTTGATCATTTTAGTCGCCCTCCTCGGGACACATTCCAGCTTGTCAATATCTCTCTTGAATTGTGGTGCCCAGAATTGGACACAATATTCCAGGTGTGGTCTAACCAAAGCAGAATAGAGGGGTAGCATGACTTCCCTAGATCTAGACACTATGCTCTATTGATGCAGGCCAAAATCCCATTGGCTTTTTTTGCCGCCACATCACATTGTTGGCTCATGTTTAACTTGTTGTCCACGAGGACTCCAAGATCTTTTTCACACGTACTGCTCTCGAGCCAGGCGTCCCCATTCTGTATCTTTGCATTTCATTTTTTCTGCCAAGTGGAGTATCTTGCATTTGTCACTGTTGAACTTCATTTTGTTAGTTTTGGCCCATCTCTCTAATCTGTCAAGATCGTTTTGAATTCTGCTCCTGTCCTCTGGAGTATTGGCTATCCCTCCCAATTTGGTGTCGTCTGCAAACTTGATGATCATGCCTTCTAGTCCTTCATCTAAGTCATTAATAAAGATGTTGAACAGGACCGGGCCCAGGACGGAACCCTGCGGCACTCCACTTGTCACTTCTTTCCAAGATGAAGAGGAAGCATTAGTGAGCACTCTCTGTGTTCGTCCACTTAACCAATTACCAGATCCACCTCACCGTAGTTTTGCCTAGCCCACATTGGACTAGTTTCCTTGCCAGAAGGTCATGGGGGACCTTGTCGAAGGCCTTACTGAAATCCAGGTACGCTACATCCACGGCATTCCCGCATCTACCCAGCTTGTAACTCTATCGAAAAAAGAGATCAGATTAGTCTGGCATGACTTGTTTTTGATAAATCCATGTTGACTATTAGCAATGACCGCATTTGTTTCTAAGTGTTTGCAGACCACTTCCTTAACAATCTTTTCCAGAATCTTGCCTGGTATTGACGTGAGGCTGACCGCACGGTAGTTGTTTGGGTCATCCTTTTTTCCCTTCTTGAAGATTGGGACCACATTGGCCCTCCTCCAATCTGCTGGAACTTCTCCCGTTCTCCAAGAACTCTCAAAGATGGTTGCCAATGGTTCCGAAATGACTTCCGCTAGTTCCTTCAATACTCTTGGGTGTAGTTGATCTGGCCCTGGGGACTTGAACTCATTTAGAGCGGCCAGGTATTCCTGTACGACTTGTTTCCCAATTTGGAGTTGGATGTCCTCAAATCCCTCATCCACTCCGTCTTGCTGAGGTTGAAGATGACTTTCTTTTTGTGAGAAGACCGAGGCAAAGAAGGCATTAAGTAGTTCTGCCTTTTCCCTATCCCCTGTCAGCATTGCCCCATCTTCTCCTCGAAGAGGTCCTATCGCCTCCTTGTTTTTCCTTTTTCTATTGACATAAGAATAGAAGCCCTTTTTATTGTTTTTAATGTCCCTGGCAAGTCTGAGCTCGTTTTTTGCTTTAGCCTTGCGGACCTTTTCCCTACAGGTGTTGGCTATTTGTTTGAATTCTTCTTTGGTGATTTCTCCCTTTTTCCACTTCTTGTGCATGTCTCTTTTGTGTCTTAGCACAGTTAGAAGTTCTTTGGACATCCATTCTGGCTTCTTTGCACTTGTCCTATTTTTTCTCTTTGTTGGCACGGTTTGCAATTGCGCCTTGAGTATTTCACTCTTGAGAAATTCCCATCCATCCGTAACTCCCTTGTCTTTTAGTATCTGTGTCCACGGAATGCTGCTCAGCGTTTCCTTCATTTTTTGGAAATCAGCTCTCCTAAAGTCCAAAATGCGGGTTTGACTTGTCTTAGTTTCGGCCTTCCTTTGTACCTCAAATTGCAGGAGCACATGGTCACTTGCCCCTAAGGATCCTACCACTTCGACCGCATCGATCAGGTCCTCCGCATTTGTTAGGATGAGATCAAGAGTAGCCAATCCCCTTGTTGCCTCTTCTACCTTCTGGACCATGAAATTGTCTGCAAGGCAAGCGAGGAATTTGTTGGATCTTGTACTCTTGGCCGAGTTTGTTTTCCAGCAAATATCGGGATAGTTGAAATCGCCCATGACTACTACATCTCTTCTCTGTGCCTGTTTGGTCAACTGTTGGCAGAAGACTTCATCAAGTTCTTCCTCCTGGCTTGGGGGTCTGTAGTAGATGCCTACAACGACATCTTTTTGAGTCCCAGTTCCCTTGATTCTTATCCAGATGATTTCAAGCTGGTTTCCCAGATTGCTGTCTTGAATCTCTTCTGCAGCATAAGAGTTTTTGACATATAAGGCTACTCCGCCTCCTCTCCCCTTTGTTCGGTTTCTGTGAAAGAGGTTATACCCCTCGATATCTACATTCCAGCGATAGGAGTCATCCCACCAGGTTTCAGTGATCCCTATGATATCATATTTGTGGTGTTGTGCTAAAAGTTGGAGTTCGTCTTGTTTATTTCCCATGCTCTGTGCATTAGTGTAAAGACATGTGAGCCCCTGAGATCTTCCCTTGAGCTGTTTAATTGGGATTATTGTGCTTTTGGTACTTGGTCCTTGTTGTGTTTGTGCAGCCCTCCGTTTAGCCTTCTGGCGATTCCCAGACATTATGGGTAAAGTAGTGTTCGCAAGGCTGTTGTCCCCCTCCCCCGGTGGACCTAGTTTAAAGTGTGCCTAATGAGGTTTGCGAGTCTGTGAGCAAAAAGGTGTTTTCCTACTTGTGTGAGATGCACCCCATCCCTTGCCAGTAGGCCATCCTCCTGGAAAAGCAGGCCATGGTCGAGGAAGCCAAAGCGTTCCTCCTGACACCATTTTCTAAGCCAGTCATTGACCTGTACTATTTTTCTGGCTCTTGTGGGCCAGTGTCTTACAACAGGGAGGAGGGATGAAAAGACCACCTGTACATTACATTCTTTTAGCTTTGCTCCTAGAGCTCGAAAATCATTTGTGAACTTTTGAAACGTATGCCTTGCAGTATCATTGGTTCCTACATGAATCAACATGAATCAACATGAACATCCCACCCTGGCAGGCCCGTAGCCAGAATTTCGATTTGGGGGGGGGGCGAGTTTGTTCCGGGGGGGAGTTGAGTCTGAGTGAAAGAGGGTCTACCCTAGCAAACCTTTTGTATCGTTACCCCAATACCCTCATGCATATGGGATATATTGAGCATGGTGATCAGATCATGATATGAATAAACATAACAGTTTAAATAATGTACCAGTAAGGTCTTCTCGCGGACCACCCTGAGAATTTCGGGGGGGGGCTGAAGCTCCTCAAGCCCCCCATCCCCCCGCTACATGCCTGCCCCCTGGACATTCCACACACACAAGTATGTGTGTGTATGTATGTATGTGTGTATATATATATATATATATATATATATATATATATATATATATATACACACTACTTTCCTAGTTTCCAATAGACCTCACAACCTCTGGAGGTGCCTGCCATAGATGTGGGCGAAAAGTCAGGAAAAAATGCTTCTGGAACATGGTCATTCAGCCCAGAAAACTCACAGCAACCCAGTGATTCCAGCCATGAAAGCCTTCGACGACACCCTTGTATTAATCCCATGCATTTGTAAAATATGAGTCATGCAGTAGATGTGAACAACAAATAAATAATTTATGTAAATACATATTCATAGATTTTTTAAAAATGTTTTATAATTCAAGGGAGGAGACGCTCCTAATTCCAGCAGGCGCGTCTCCTCCCTCCCCGCCCAAGGAAGCGGCGCCGACTCTCCCCAAGCTTTTGACTTTGAGAGGAGCAGAGGCCTCAGGTTTTTCAAGACACCCGCTCAAAACGGCACCACCCAATTGGACAGCGCTGTCTTCCTGAGCGACGGCTGTCTCCGCCAATAGGAGCTTTCCTAGGGGTAAACAAGTGCACGTGGAGGAGGCCGTGGGCGGGACGCTCCTAAGTATAGGAAGGCAGCGGCGATGCCCAATGGAAAGCGCGCGCTCGTTGAAGCTGGCCAATAGCTGTGCGGCTGGGTTGGTCTATAGGATTGGTATATAGAGAATGACAAAGGGGATTATGGCTATTGTTGTAGTTGCTGTTTGTGCGCCATGGAGTCTGCGGACGCGTCCTGGGGTCTATGGACAACCCGTTTCTTTTGGCTGGGGGTGGCGGTCGCCTCATACGAGGTTTTCCGGCTGATCCGCTTCGTGTGGCACATCCGCCGCCTGTTTCTCGTGGGGAACCCTGGGGCGGTGGGCCCACACCTGGGCGCCTGGGCAGGTGAGTCGCCCGCTCGCTCTGCGGCCTTCTCCGCCTTGCAGCCCTCCTCCTTTGGGCCTCCTGCCTCTTCCCCCGCTGCCCTTCTTCCTGACATGTTGTGGAAGCACAGCAAGAGGTCTGTTGGAATCATTCAGCCGCTTAAGCCTGGCTGAAGGGGGAAAGCACTTTAAATCATGTTTTACAATAAATGGACAGAAAAAAGCAGTTCAGTACAAAGCTGCTTAAGCCTGGTTGAGGCTGTTCGGAATGGTGGGAGTTGAAGTCCAAAATACCCGGAGGAAAAGGGCCTGAGGTTGTTAGGAATGATGGGAGTTGAAGTCCAAAACACCCAGAGGGAAAGAGCCTGAAACTATTAGGAATGATGGGAGTTGAAGTCTAAAACACCCAGAGGGAAAGGACCTGAAACTATTAGGAGTGACTGGAGTTGAAGTCCAAAACACTTGGAGGGGAAGGGCTTGAGACTATTAGGAATGATGGGAGTTGAAGTCCAAAACACCCAGAGGGAAAGAGCCTGAAACTATTAGGAATGACTGAAGTTGAAGTCCAAAACACTTGGAGGGGAAGGGCTTGAGACTATAAGGAATGATGGGAGTTGAAGTCTAAAACACCCAGAGGGAAAGGGCCTGAAACTATTAGGAATGACTGGAGTTGAAGTCCAAACACCTGGAGGGGAAGGGCTTGAGACTAATAGGAATGATGGGAGTTGAAATCTAAAACACCCAGGGGGAAAGGGCCTGAAACTATTGGGAATGATGAGAGTTGGAGTCCAAAATACCCAGAGGGAAAGGAACTGAGGCTGTTAGGAATTGTGGGACTTGAAGTCCAAAACACCTGGAGGGTCCAAGTTTGCCCAGGCCTGCTCTAGACCTATTATGGGTTTTAGGTGCACAGTTCTTAGTTATGATTGTTGCTAACTTGGAACTGTCTGTTATTCATTCCCTTTTTGCTTGCTGTTGTTACCTGTGAGGTTCTGGAAGCACACAGAGACAAAGACGTAATTTGTTTTGTTGTGATGAGATTCTGATACATGATAACAACAGTCAATACTCCATTTCAAAGCAGGAATTGAGCATTGGAGCATGACTTGAGAGACCGGGATTCAGTTCCTTGCTTGCTCAAGGGAAGACACTAGGCGGCAAATCACACTCTTTCAGCCTCAAAAGAAAGCCAGTCAGAAAAAGTTTGAGGGCACACCTGCATTCTATTTTTTCCAAATAAGATTAGTTGTTTCTATAGTAGAGTCTCGCTTATCCAACCTTCACTCATCCAATGTTCTGTATTATCCAATGCAGCCTGCCTCCCGCCCAGATCCACAGCTGTTTCAATACATTGTTTTGGTGGTAAATTCGTAAATACAGTAATTACTACATAACGTTACTGTGTATTGAATTGCTTTTTCTGTCTATTTGTTATAAAACATGATTTTTTGGTGCTTAATTTGTAAAATCATAATATAATTGGATGTTTAATAGGTTTTTCCTTAGTCCCTCCTTATTATCCAACATTTTTGCTTATCCAACATTCTGGCGGCCCATTTATGTTGGATAAGCGAAACTCTACCATATTTCTAAACAGAGCTGTAATAGCTTGTGAGCTTAAACAACATCCATATTGGGAAAAGCCTTTTATAGAAGAAAGCAAAATGCCATAAATGTGTACAAACTTTGGGTTTTCTAGAATTATTTTTCAGCTATTGAATTAGGAGATTAAAGTAGAAATCTGATAATTAGGGCAGCTGTTGCAACCAGAAAATTAGCATTTGTTTAGTCATCAAACAGAGGCATTCATATATGGGAATGCACCAAATAATGCATAATGGAATGCAGAGACAAATGTCTGTACATCCCATTATGCATTATTAGATTTGGTTCAAGAATTAGGCTGTTGCAGCAATAAGGCCTGCAATTATTTAGTTACTAAATGGAGATTGGTAGACTTGCAGGCTGGATCTACACTGTCATACAATCCAGTTTAGCAAATCAAATAATCCTGATTATCTGCTTCGAACTGGATTATATGGATCAACACTGCTATATAATCCAGTTTAAAGTAGATAATCTGGTTTTTATATGGCAGTGTAGAGGGGGCCTCAGATATCAGCATACACCAAAAAATGCATAATGGGATGTAGAGACAAATTATATATCCCATTGTGTGTTATTAATGTTGGCATAAAATTATGACAAATGTTGCAGCCACAATGTCAATAGTTATTTAATTGGCAAATTAAGATTATTAGACTTTCAGATATCTAAATACACCAAGTACTGCATAATGTAAGGTGAAGACAAATGTCTCTCTCTGTGTTACAAGAAAATAACTTTTCACTTAGCATTCAGTAATCACTGATACACCTATTCTAGTTTTTATATATCAGCATGATATGTATATATGTTTGGGTGAGGGGAGGTGGTTCTGGCAAGTATCTTGATATTTTGGATGATTTAGGTCTGAGTTATCACAATGTTGCTCACAGATTCCTCAAAAGTCTATGTTGCCACCAGCAGAATGAAATCTTTCAGCGCTAACAGATTCCTAAATGAGCTTCCAGTGTGTGTCAGGAGCAACTTAAGAAACTGCAAGTTGCTTCTGGTATGAGAGAATTGGCTGCTTGCAAGAATGTTGCCCAGAGGACACCTAGATGTTTTACCATCCTTGTGAGAGGCTTCTCTCATGTCCCTGCATGGGGAGCTGGAGCTGACAGAGGGAACCCATCCACACTCTCCCCAGATTCAAACCGCTAACCTGTCCATTTTTAGTTCTGCCGGCACAAGGGTTTAACGCATTGTGCCACCGGGGGGCTCCTTCTATTTAGTTAATACAGTTTTATTTTGAGAGAGAGAAAGAGAGAGAGATGCACTAGGAGATGCTCCAGGAGACAAGGGTTTGATTTCCAACTCAGACACAGGAGCCCCCTGTACAATCTTGTAGGAAGTTGAGGAAGCAGAATCCATTTTGTTCCCTTCTGCTTCAGGTTAAGCTTTGTCTTAGAGGGCACTAGAAATCTGAGTGAGTGCGTGTTTAAAAATTAACTGCTTTGTTTGAGAGGTGGAGCTTCCTGTGTTTAAAAATTAACTGCTTTGTTTGAGAGGCGGAGCTCTCTGTGTTTAAAAAATTAACTGCTTTGTTTGAGAGGCGGAGCTCTCTGTTTAAAAATTAACTGCTTTGTTTGAGAGGCGGAGCTCTCTGTGTTTAAAAATTAACTGCTTCGTTTGAGAGGCGGAGCTCTCTGTGTTTAAAAATTAACTGCTTTGTTTGAGAGGCGGGGCTTCCTGTTCTGCTTCCTGGTTACCCTATATAAACCAGCGTCGCGCGCGCCTGATGGCGCGCGCGAACTCATACACTCAGTAACCTACACTTTCACCCCTGCATACAGACAACAACATAAAACACACACCAAGAGGAGGTCATTAGCAACCCCCATATGGAACAAACACGAAATCTTCCAGTCTCATGCACAAGCTGTGGCATGTTCAGCTTTTTCACACTACAATTACTCAATTATATTTGCCCCAAGTGTAAACAGATCACTCACATGGAACACAGGATCCGACAACTCCAGGACCGTATTAAGACCCTTAAGGGCATTCAGGAACTCGAGCCGTTCTTAGACACCACACAGCATGCTGTCCTAGACACGCAGCCCATATCACATCAACATTATGGGGAGGCTCAAGAGGAGATCACCTCAGATGTGGACAACCCTCAGGCTTGGAGAAATGTCACCCTTAGAAAGAGACATAGGACCCGAAGCCTCCTCAGAATACTTCTTCTCAGCTGCAGTTACACAATAGATTCCAAATTCTCACACAGCTATCACT